TTGCAAAACACAAACCTCGGTTCGTCCTCGAAATATACAAGTCCTTTCTTGGGAAGTATTTCTCGCCTGGCATCAGATTCACTCATTTTCTGATCACTTCCTCAGGGCGCCACAGTGGCTAGGTGCAGCTCGGACCATTAGAAACACGAATTCAAGCGCATACACACGCGACTGACGCACGTTAACTGCAAAGAATTACAAAACCCTCATCACTTCGATCCAATTTCAGTTTAAACTCCTAGAACTCGCGCGACGGTTATGAGTTAACTGCTGTTGGAACACGTGGGGGAATTAATCGTCAGGGGTAGAACTAACGACGGGAGACGTATTTAGAGTTTCATAGAGAAACCATTAGATGTCGTTGTTGATTTTTCATACAGCAAGAAACTCAACATACATCCCGTGGTAAGCAAAAATCAAGGTAAAATATTTCTCCAGTGATTTACTTTAGGATTCTCCATGTAAGCGGCTCGTTTTTGAACGTCATCGAAAATTTGTCCATCAAAGAAGCATGCTACGTTGTACAGTACATCATTTTAATTTTCCTTTCCGTGGAGGGAACCTCCTGATGTCTCATTATGTTCAGAAACAACGTCCATAGCTCCATGGAGTGCGCGCCAATATTTGAAAACGGTTGCATTGCATTGGACAGCCAGTCTATAGTTTGAATTAAATTTACAGTACTGAACTTGAACGGAGTGCTTAACACATCGATTACCCCAAAGCGGAGTGTATACCTTCAGTGTGCTGTGATCTTCAGGCGCAGCAAATGCCACTATACTGTAGTTCACTAAAGGTGACCCAACCCACCCTGGTTGAACCCTGTGAACGCTATGCAACAGCGACCTCCATGGGAAATGAAATGAAGTATTCATCATTCATTCTATGAATGCCATCTACAATTCTACAGGATGGAAATGCAAGCATAGTTTTGATTAACAACCATGGCGTGTAACAAAACTGTGGTGCATATACTGTACATGGTGAAAGAGATGGAAGAACATGCTTTTATTAATTCGTATATTTCCTACTTCGGCGGATGCTACTGGATACTAAATTGGCAATTAGTATTTGAATGCTTTCATATTGTTCACATTCCTTTTCGAAGTTTTTTACCCCTGTAAAATGTTAGTGTGACTTTCTGTAGTAGTGCTTTGTAACTGTGCATACTACTCCATGATTGAGTAAAATCACTGGTGTTTATTTTCATACAGAGAATATCCTGGTAGACAAGATTATTTTACCCCTGTAAAATGTTAGTGTGACTTTCTGTAGTAGTGCTTTGTAACTGTGCATACTACTCCATGATTGAGTAAAATCACTGGTGTTTATTTTCATACAGAGAATATCCTTGTAGACAAGATTATTGGAGAGAGAGTCCACATGTACAGGACCAAGTTCTTGCTTTTAGGTCAAGTTGGCTGTGCTCTATCTGCACACATGCAATCCTCATCAGAAATTCACATAAACTTTCCTAATTGCAATCTTAGGGTTGTAAAGGAACCCTTATAGGGCTTCATCAAATCAGCAATGTCAATGAAATTTTTAGTTTAAATTGTTTCATCATTTAACTGCATCAGAAGGCAAAAATCCTAGTGCAAATTTCTCCAAGGGAAATATCTTCAGGTGCCACAGTCTTTCCAATGATGAAATTATATGTTTAGAAATTCATGCAACATAACATGTTTTCAAAATTCAGTGAAATCAGAAACCTCTTTTTGTAGGAAAATCATCCAATAGTTTATTCGTAAACCTTTCCTTACAATGGTGATTCGAAGAACAATCACGCAAACACGCTTCAGGAATCTCCTAACCTAGGAAGTGGTTAGGCTCTCAAAATAAGATCCTCCTGCTGAAGCTCAGCCATTGAACCTTTTTCTCTTTTACGATTTCCCCTAGCATTCAAGGTTGGATTCTCCTAATAAAACACAGAAAGCATCTCTATTCACTCAAAGGTTGAAGCATTCCAAAATTGTGCTTGGCAGCCACACACTGTTCGCGACTGAAAAACTACGACCAGAGAAATGGAACAGGGAGAGAAACAACTCAGATAAAGCTCAGTTATCCCGGGGGTCCAACACAGCCTGGTTTCGACCTCGAACGGATCACGGAACAGAAGGAAGTTCGCTAAGCAAAAAAAATTAATAAATGGCCACTACACCTTGGCAGGATTGTTGAGACTATGGCACAGGATTCGCACTCAACCCAAAAATAAATAAATAAATACACCACGGGGGTTCACGCTGTCCGAACACAAAAGAAAAAACAGCAGAATTACGCACTGATTACTCTCGTCACTGACGACACAGTCAAGAAAAACATTCAATTGTCCTAAGATTCCGTCTCCACGACCGATCGGTCAAAAAGATATACCACCAATATTTCAAGAAACAAATGCGATTTTTTTTTTCTTCAGAAAATCTGCGCTCGTCTTCCCTTGAGTTGATGCGCGGACAAAGGATTTTTTAAAAGGAGATATACGAATTACACCCGGCCGTCAATACTGCATTGGATACACTTTCTTTTTTCTCAACGACGGCTGGAAGAAAACTTCCACGATTCAAAGTTTCAAACATCAATTTTGATAAGTTTCATTTCCATTTTTGATAACAATTCGATTCTCGGTTTCCTTTATTGCTGAGTATTTTGTTTTCTCGAGATGAATGAGGAATCACACTAAAGAAATTAATTTGGAAACAGAAGACGCATCAAATTTTTGTTGAGGGTGATTCACGAGGTACTAGACCAACAGAAATGTTTTACAGCATTTCAGGCAGTCAAGGATACGAGAAATCAAATTCTGTCCATCATCGCAGCAAACATGTTGAATTTCGTAGAGGAAATGAAACATTTTCGAAGCATTTCCAGTGAAAATTCTTGTCATATTTACCACTAATTCAACGTACATCGAAGAGAATTTTGGATATGAGCATTTCGAAATTTTCCCTAATTCCTCGAAGTTGAAAAATATACAGTATATATATTTTTTAATGGAAAAAACCTTACTTTCCCAGAAGCTGAATGAGGTTTTTCCAGTTAATAAGAATATTTCCAACTGTTTTTTTTAAGTTCCCATCTTCCTGTATCACAAATCACGCGCTCAAAACATGCATAAACATTCTCGTTTTTTCAAGGGTCTAGTGGCGCGTGAAACACCCTGTAGAAAGGATTTCCATTTCTGGAAAAGATTCGATTCTAAGTTTTCTTAATTACCGAGCATACCAAGGTAAGCATGGGATCACACTGCAGCAATTTATTGCGTTGAAGACGCGTTTGCACAGATCACATCATGTAAACAGATTTGAACGTTTCACAACTACAAATAAAACACAAATATAAAACCTACACAACGACTGACTGACAGATAAAGGTAATTTTCTCCCCCTTTCAAAATTTCTCTTTTTCATGTATGCGCATAGTGGACATAAGCAAAGCAGCTTTGAGCGGTAGGAATGAGTCCCGTTTGTTCGTCGTTAAAACTTCCAAATGAAGGAAATCTTACTGCCAAAATATCGCCATGTATCGAGAAACAAATATCTTTCCCCTCACCCGTATTCGATGGAGATTTTTGCGCAAAAAAAGACTAGCATGATCTGTGAGTTCAGACTCCAAACTTTAATTTCATAATTTCTCAATTCACTTTTAATATATGTACTCGAGAATTGTTTACTCTGAACACGTTTACCATCTACCCCGATTTTTCGGTCTACGAAAGAAAAGCAGGACTGAAAACAGCAGCTAAAATTGGAAATGATGCACAAACGTAAGTCTAATGTCAAGGAACTGAGCACATAATTTAACGAAGAATCTTCAACAACGGTGCATCTAATATTCCACATCAGAGTCAAATTTGAAACTAATCGTTGCGTTTTGACTAAAACGATCATCCAAGAATAACGTGGCACTGATTATATCAAGTATAACATTTCAAATATCAATTATCTGAGCTCACAAAAAATGCTATAGCACGCTTCAAAGGAGATTCGCCTGTCTTTGCTAATCCTCTTCCGAGTCTTCGTGGTCAGAATGCAGATGCTCCAGGCCATTGCGCGGCAGAAGGTTGAGCGTGATGGCATGTTCTAGCAATGCCATGTAACAGAAAACGTACTGATCTGGCATTTGTATGGAGTGCGCTCTTTGCGAACGGATACGTTCTACAGTGCCTTTGATGTCGACAACACCTTCTTCAGCCAGGCGCTGGAGACAAATGTCCAGCGTACAAAACGTTCCTAAGATACGTAATCCAAAGAAAAAAAAATTATTATGAAGCTCTGATAGAAAAGAATGAAGCAAAATTTTCAAGACAAATACTTTACATTAAAATTTTTAGAACTACTTTTTCAGTGTAACAACCTTTTTCTCAAGTCACAGCAGAAAGCACATAGAGACATGTTAAAAAAAATCTCGGTATAACAAATTTCCCAATTACCAGTATAAAAGATGTTTCGAGCTTTTGAGGAATGTTTAATACATTTATAGGGGTAGAAATTCCCTGACCACAGCAGGCACAGTCTGAAATTTAAATTGTGAATGACATTCTATTAGCATTGATGGAAGCTGTGATCAATGAAAACATGCTGCCAAGTGATCCACAGATCATCCTCTCAAAATGAAGATATTGGTGCAACTGATGAAATGCATGATTGAAGATACTTTTTTTCAGATCACTCGGGTTTCCAAATTAAAATCTCAAAATGTCAGAAAATTAAGATCTAATTGACTATAGACAGGTCTGACGTGAAAATTTTCAATCATTAATTTTGAAGATCTCATAAAAAATTATTCAGTAAAAGAATTGTTTTCTGAAGCCCTAAAAGTTTGTTGAAACGAGATTTTACTGTCGTCGATAACAAAGAAAAATTGAATTGCTAACCTGTACGTCCTATCCCAGCACTGCAATGAACTAGAATCGGAGGCTTCTTCTCCCCAGTCCACCCGTAAGCATCACAAGATTCTTTGTCCATCCGACGAACTTCTTTCAGAAACGAAAGCATTGCGCTGGCTGATTCAGGCAATCCATAGTCAGGCCATGAAGTGAACTGCATATGGTGAACCTCTCTCGATTCCTCGGTCTAAATGAGCATTCGAGTTACATTTTCAAAAGACAATTCTCGATTTACGGAGTTGTGAAGTTCAACGATTTACTTTTTGGTTAATCACAGCAAAAATGGTATGCACGTAGTCGGCAGTACTGTCCACAGCCTTGTTCTCGACCCGAATGAATCCATAGCAGGCCGACGAACCTTCTTTCTCGGGCCAATACTGCCCACACTTGACGCGCCCGCGTTCCATAATACGGGTCGTCATGACCAGCACAAGCACCCTTTGCTCCCATATCATTCGCCAAAAGTCAGGGAAGGTTTTTTGCAGAGGGCCCTTTGAAGCAATTTTACCATTCAATCATCAGCACAAAAATTAAATGAAATTTCATTGAACAAATTTTAACGATAATGCATCCCACCTAAGGTTGACTATTCCCAGAAAACGTTTCAGAAATGATCTTTCTGAAAAAAATGTACGCTCCGAGCCTGATTCAAAACAAGTTTCGCAAATATTTACATTACTGCATTCAAATTCCACCTCTTCCAGATAGATGATCCTATGCTCGATTTTTTCCCTAAATTTTATTCATTAGTCATCATTGTCATTTCTATGAGCCAAAAACCATGTACAGTACAAGGACAGAACTATTTCGAGGTCGCAAGACTCCAGTTAAAAAAAAAACTGAATTTCATCAGCGGGTATTTCCCAATGACGAAACATTTGAAGAAAATCACATTTCTGAGCTTTCAAGGAAACGTATCATAGAATGCGACGTAACATTACAGGTTTTTTTCCGTCCCATTCCTACGAAATATCGTTTGATTACAATCAGCGAACTAACACTTAACTTATCGTTAACTGTACTGTATATCAAAGATAACACAAGTGGAAAAGAAATACTGAATAAATGCTTTGTTTCATTCTTCTTTAACAAAAGATGAACGTATTACCTGAGAAAATATAAAAGCCTTCTTTGTCTTATAACCATCCACGTAGTTGGCATTGATGTAGTCGCTGCTAGGGTCGCCATCAATTTGTTCCAGCATAACACGGGTATGATCGTAACATAGCACATCCGTATAACGATTCTTCAACAAATTCTGCCTCTGTCGAGAAGCTTCAAAACTACCATTTAACGGCTTGGCCTTCAATTCACTGTATTCAGCGTAAATTCCCATTTTTCCACGACTTTTCACATGCTGCAGCAATTCTTGTAAAGTCATAGGGCTGGTTGATGAATCAGGCGTTTGACACGGTGAATTATCATTTGACTCGCTGTCACTCTGAGGTTCATCCCCGTTTGAGTGACCATTGGGAAGGACCAGACTAGCCTTTCCCCTCCTTGACTGTCCATTATCCATTGACTGTGCTGGAGCATCATCGTTATTTGCTGACACAACTGGAGGAAAATTCACTGAAGTGGGGGAATCAGTGCAAAACTCCGACGCCATGCTGCAGTTCGACTCCAACTTCAGACAATGTTTCAGCCAACGCTTGTGTTCTACTTCGCTTTCACCGCCCAGGTTTTTCGGCAAAGTATTCTCCGGAATGTGCCCTACCAACTGCGAATAGATGGAAGGGAATTCAAACCTAAAAGTTCGTGAGGCACAATTTCAGGCAAACGAACTCATGCGTTCACCATTTAGACTCGCAGTAATCACACAGGTAAGGATTAAAGGGATTGGTTTGCAGGCCGAATTAGGTGCAATGCATTAAAAAAAAGTTAATCTAACGTGAAAAAAACTCGTCAAGAATAATGCAATCATTGGAAAATAAATAAGGTTCGGCTTGATCTAAGAATAATCGCTTCCCGATGCACGGTTTCGACTCCACACCGCACCGTTTCATCGAAGAGAGTTTCAATCAATAGAAGATAAATCTTTTCGTCATTGCGAAAAAAACCCGGAGACATTTCCGAGTTGGTTCGGTGATCATAATCGCTCCCCATCAAATTAAGTTTACTTATTCGATGAAAATAAAAAGTATTGAATAGTAATGAATCAATAGCACACCTGTGGAACGCTGACAGTGTATACACGGTCCCGCAGTTTTTCCCTGACAAATAGTCGCAGTATTTTGAAAGGAGCTTTGAACCATAACGGAGCGGTGACTATCAAAACCTTCTTCAGACGAGCGGGATACCCACTCTTCAGCAACGTCAGTATGCGCTGACTAAGTTCGTAATCAAAATTGGAATATCTGGACTCCGTCATATCGTATATGAAAACTAGACCGTCTCTCTGAGTGGAAGGATCCTCCAGAGCTTTATCCAACTGATACACAACACCTTGTAATGTTGTTCGATGATCAGTTAATTGTGGGTAATGCAGGCTAGCCGTGAAGAGAGCTAATGTAGCTCCACTAATATCCTTTCCGGGAAGAATAGTGAATTTCCCACTCTCAAGTTCAGATTTTAGAGGATCGTCGAGCGGGTTGAAAAATGTTAGACCCTCTCGCTGCCTCGTTGTTTCATGCTGATGAAAAAGAACGATCGCCCGATCCACGTTGAACTTCCTTGCCATGAGGAATTTGACGGCTGTGTTCCATGATACTGGTCCCGCATTTCTTCGCTGACGTAGTTCGTTGATTTTGACCAGAAAATCCTTTGTTGCCTATAATTAATGCAATGCACACACTCACACCAGGCAAATCACACGACGCTGACAAAGTACATGCAACAAAATCAATACAAGCTCACCTGTTCCTCCACAGAGCTCAAGTTGCTTGACATGATCGGCCGACACTTCACTTACGACCGGTTAGTATCCCACTGGCACTCACGTAACGGTAGACGCTCATAATTGAGAAATATCGCAACCTGGTGATCAATTAATACATTTTACACGGAGCTTCCGGGTGACGCTGCGTTTATCGGCAGACTTCCGCAGGAGAGACGGTCTTTTCAGCATGCGTACTTCGTCAGTGAGGAACACCGTCATGCGTGTGAACTTTTGATGAAATCCGAGAGGGACGCTGGCTGTCATACACCAAGTACTCCATGTAGAAATTAATGGGAGTAAGAAAAGAGGCAAGCTGTCAACTAAAACTGCCAATGCCAAAAAAATGAATAACATTAAAATTTAAGTACTGCGCTTCAATATTTATCATGCATCCAATAGATTAACATCACGTAAATAATTTTGATGTACGGTTTTCCAGTAGAGTACAGCACCCAAAACGAATTCAGGATATTTACATCCAGAATAGGTAGGAGTAACTTTGACCATGTACAGTATGTGCTTTTGCCGAATCCGCCAACGGCTGGTGAGCTGTGAAGTTTTCCGGCCGCTATGGTGGTGTGACATCGTTACAATCAGTGCAGTACAGTACGAGGGAGTAAGTCCTGTCCTGAATTGCGATCGTGAAGAATCTCGAGTTAGAATTTTGGATATTTGAATGCAGCTTACAGTACGGAGGAAACTATCACGTCTGAAGTTTCCCCGGATTCATGAAAGTTCACTTTGTAGAAGTTGGTTTGAAACTAAAAATCTTTATCTCGTGCTTCTTCCGACGCTTAAATCACTTCTGTGAGCGTCACTTGATGCAATGGTGACTGTGTAATTTTACGGAAGAGCGACCGTACTGTAAAGTATTTCTCGCGTTGTCTGCAGTATTTTACCCGGTAGGATGCCCGGGCAGTGCATTGGTTCTATTGGATTGTTGAGTGCATGTGGCTACTCTCACTACCTTGTCGTACGTGAAGTAATGGTCGGTGCGATATGAAATCGTGAAGTGACAATGAAATGGCGCATTAATCCTCACCTTACATTGATTTTTCTAGGTGTTCTCGTTGATCCGATTATAAGTCAGTTGGGTGCCTGTCAGCGGCGGAAAGCCCACCCATCAAAGGTAACAGACAAGTTAAAGCGTAAACGAACTAAACCAAACACAAGGTCCCAGGTCGACCACACTCGAATTCGCTTCTACTGCTTCCCTTGAAGTTCGAAACCATTCTCTGGTAATAAGACCCACACGCTGTGTCGGCGATGTGGGAAGTCGTCTTACCACATCCAGAAGCATCGTTGCGCTCAATGCGGATACCCATCTGCCCGCCTGCGTCACTACAACTGGAGTGTAAAAGCTCAACGTCGTAAGACCACCGGCACCGGTCGCATGCGTCACCTGAAGATCGTTCATCGCCGTTTCAAGAACGGTTTCAAGGAACCTAACTTCCGTAAGGCTATCAAGGGTTCGAAGAAGGCTGCGTGAGCAACCAGTCATGGTGCAAACAGACTGAACCGTATTGTTAATAAATACGATGTGCGTTTGCTGAAGTCTGAGATTTTTTTTCACGATGGAAGATTTCCATGAGAGGTTTCTTTTGTTGACGAAGTTTCAGTTGTCCATCTTCACTATTTTATAGAAATTCTCGGTTGATTATGTCGCGACAGCAACGTCTGCTTAAACCAATGCGAGGTGGTCATGTACGTCGCGCTGTGCATACACCTTTGATTAGAGATAATCGTCGCAACCCGAGCCCAATATCCACGGATTCTGGTTTGTCTAACGAAGGACAGATGAAGGCCGATCGAAAGCTTGTCCCGACTTTGCACGAAATTACTGTCCACGTTGATCAGGCTTCTTCGTGTATCGAAAAAGGTAACGCATTCCCATCCCGTTTTTTTTTCAAGAATAAGTAATAATTTCCAAAATTTTCAGATTTCCTGGATTTTGTACAAGCCGCTCGAGCAAAGATTGTTGATTTGAAGCGCGAAAAGGACTCGTTGAAAAGGCAGAATGCCCGAATTCAGCAGCTTGAGCAAGAGGTGGGAATGTACAAGCGTCAGGTCAATGAAGGACGACCTCGGGACCTAGTGCAATTCGCCCTCTTTCGATGGAATGTTTTGCTTCACCTAGTAGACCATGCACTAAGCCCGAAAGATTTTAAAACCACCCCAGCTTGCGTTTTTGAATAGAACCGTTAATGCAAGTTGGAGCTTTGTTTTTCGGCCAATTTTAGTATTTTTCGGTGGAACGAAGCACCTATGTCGATATTTTTACTCAATTCTTCCGGACTGAAAGTCACGTAGTGCAGTACATAGTACTGACCTTATCTTTAACTTCAGACTTTGGGGTTTGGTAGACATAGTATATGAATTCTCAAGCACTGCAAGCAAACATTTCAGTGAGAAACACTCTTTCCTGATACTGTATTGGAACATCTTGATTGAAGTTCCTAAGTAATTTTTGAAAGATAGGCATGATTAATCAAAGAATATCAATGGTTGCAGAAAGGAATCGTTCAGAAAGTCGGCAGTTACTGCTCGCGAACTGGGACAGATCCTCGATCAATTTCCGAGTGCAGTTCTGACGACATTCCTCGCCAGAAACTAATGAGCCCTGGATCACGTTAAGCGGGAGAAAGCTACCTTACAAAACGAAGTGGATCATCTGGTACGTGATTCGGGCTTTCTAAAATTTTGGTGGGGTCGAACGCAAAAACTTATCTTGGCAATTACGTTAGTGGAGCTTTGTTTTCCGGCCAATTTTAGTATTTTTCGGTGGAACGAAGTACCTATGTCGATATATTTACTCAATTCTTCCGGACTGAAAGTCACGTAGTGCAGTACATAGTACTGACCTTAACTTTAACTTCAGACTTTGTGGTTTGGTAGACATAGTATATGAATTCTCAAGCACTGCACTCTTTCCTGATACTGTATTGGAACATCTTATCTTGATTGAAGTTCCTAAGTAATTTTTGAAAGATAGGCATGATTGATCAAAGAATATCAATGGTTGCAGAAAGGAATCGTTCAGAAAGTCGGCAGTTACTGCTCGCGAACTGGGACAGATCCTCGATCAATTTCCGAGTGCAGTTCTGACGACATTCCTCGCCAGAAACTAAACGACATGGTCGGAAAGTTGGTTGCTATGGAGCGCATAGAAGAGCGCCGTGGGCGGAATTCTACAAGTGGTAAGTTCGCCATGACGCAAACTTTTGTGAGACTTGATCTCATTTGCTATCTGACCTGATCTTTCGTCAGTGTTGCCTGAGATGGGTTCTGTAAAGGTACACTGTTTTTTTTTTTCTTTAGATTCGATCTTGCTTTCTGGGGAAGAATCCAATTCGTTGGAGCAGTCTGGGCCGTACAATTTACGCCAACGAGAAGGGCGATCGAGTAGGTCGAGGCGTTCTCGTTCCGCCAATTTGAACCGAAGCAGGAGCCGCAGTCGTCCGCGACCTAAGCGAAGGAGTTCCGTCGAACCGAATGTACTTGCTGCACACTTTTTAACTGTCAGAAGTGGAAGCTCGAACTTGATTTTCTTTAGCAGGAGAAGCGGTTTGTTGCCTCTACGACGGTTCACTTCAATGCTGCTACTGGCGAGCCTGTTCAGGCTACAGCCACCTTGTCGCAGTCACGGTTCGCATTAACTTTTCGGAATGCTGTACTGAAATTCTGAATTTATTTCAATATTTTTTTAAATTCTTCAAACAGACCCAAGAGACGAAGTGACGAAGCTGCTGGAGGAGATGTGAAGAAGGTCAAGACTATCACCATGGACTTGGAGAAGGCAGCCGAACGTGAGAAAAATTACTTCTTCCTATATAAAGTTTCGTGTATGTGACCGATGTTTGAATTTTTTTCAGCCGTTCGCGAAGCATGCACTCCATCTGCACCTCCACTTTTTAGTGCGAGTGGCGTAAGTAGTTCATGTAGTTATTTGAAAATGCAGTCGTTTCGAAGCTATTGGGCTTTCAACAGGTTCAGGCGACGTTGGCGAAAACTCCAGCCATGAGCAGGATTTATTCGAGCGTAAGATTACGCCTTGAGTTCTTCATTGAGTGGAAGAGATAACAAAAAATGTACAGTATTGCTTTCAGGCCGACTCCCCGCCGAGTTCTGCATGCAAATCTGATGTGATCGAGCATCAATTCTATCCCAAGAATCCGAGCTGGATGAAGGCCCAACATTGCCAAGTGTGCGCCAAGCCGTGAGTATTGTCTTTTTTCCGTCTTCAGTTACTCTTGGTCTAAAGATGGAAATTCAGTGACTAGAAAACATTTTTGAAATTTGCGAAGAAGTGTCAACTGTTTCAAGCATATCTTTTTTTTTTCTTCCAAGCATGAATTATATTCTGAGTCGATCTTCATCAGGGATAACGTTTAAATAGACCAAAAAATATTAGCAGATTTTCCGTACCATGGTTTCTTGCGCAGCAATAAAAACTTATGTCTGGTCCTGCACATCTGCTTCTGGTGAAACGTTTTTCCGCTGCTGAATTTTTCCGATCCCAATTTACTTGTTGATCACGTGTTAATTTTTCTGAATTAACACGTCTTTTAAATTTCTAATTGTAGTACGAAAAGTTAATCTGCTCAGTTATTGAAAACCATCTGTTTTCGCAGGTTGAAGATGAGGTCTTCGCTGAAATGTTCGGCTTGTTCTGGAGTCTGCCATGAGACTTGCCGCGGTAGTATGCCGGTTCCCTGCATTGAATGTCCACCGGAAAACAACAAATATCATCTTGACGTGAGTTGGGCATTTGTTGTCAATTGTCATTGTTCGAAATGTTTGGAATAGTGATTGGAATAAAACATAGGCATGCTCAGTTCTACTGTGAAGCAAACCCGTGAATTATGTTGTATTGTCACGGTTCATTCTTTTTTAGGATCTGAGAGCTTTTGTGCCGGAGAGAACTCCCATGATACCTGCTCTGCTCGTGCATTGCGTGAACGAAATCGAGAAGCGAGGATTCAACGAACTTGGACTATATCGCGTCAATGGCTCGAAGTCGAAAGTTGAAGAATTATACGTGAGTTTCAATCACGTCATAGACCTTAGACCTTGCATTTTTAACGTTCGTATGCGAGATGTTCCGAATAGGCTTTCGAACCTCTAAGCACAGTTAGTGGTTGGAGATTGAATTTCATTTTCATGTGACTGAAATGCAGTACTAACAAGGTAGAAAACGCCTCAATTTTTTCGAATTCCCTCTGGTTGAAGGACCGTCTTCGTGAACTCCATGTTGGGCAAAAAAAAAAAACCAGTATAGATTTTTTTGCCTCTTCATGATATAACCCTCGTTGTTGATTAATTTTGAATTCATGTTCTAGGAAAAGTACGTGTCTGGACTAAAAGGAAACGGCTATCCACCACTTTGCGAACAAGAAATTTCAGTCCTCTGCAGCGTCTTGAAACTTTTCTTCAAGAAGCTCAAGGATACGTTGATTCCAGTGCAACTGCACCAATCGTTCTTCGACGTTTGCTCGGACGCTTCCCCTGGTCAAACACCAGAGGGATTGTTCACTCTCGTTCGCTCGCTTCCACGTGCCAATCGGGATACTTTGACGTACTTGATACTCCATTTGAAGGTATTTTGTTTGAGTCTGTCCTTTAATATCGTGGTTCGTTATTCATTGGATTATGTTGTGTTTAAAATAAACTTAAAGTGAAGGGAATTATCAATTACGGAAGCTTTTTGCGGGGAACTTCGAAAATAATCTTCTTACGTGGTTGACGGTCACAACCCTCTCAAGTCCCTAGTTATTATGGAAGGGAGGGCAGCGTGTGCACATATTCATCTTGCTGAATGGAAGGAACAATCTCAAGCTGTTGCATAAATCCAGTACAAGAACAACTTTGAAAGCACGAATTCCGTGTATCGCAGGTTCCCTGCAGAACACCCGAACTTCAGTGCTTTTGAGAAAATTTGCCTTCTGTGAAAAAGTAGTGATGAGAGAAGCGCAAAATAGCCCTGGTCAATTGAACTCTTGCATGTCCCAACAATTTAATTTATTTTTGAAAACCGTTGTCGAACCAAAAACTCGCGCGACTTCTTTGCCGTTCCAAGTATCACTTGAAAAAAAATTTACGAAATCCTTCTACGAAAGCTGTGCTTTCGAACTACTGTATCGATATATAGCAAGTGTCATCTGCGGATAACTCAAATGTCCCTCATTTTCCGAATGCTTCCAGAGAGTTGCCAACGAGGACGCAGTAAAGATGCCGATCGCAAATCTGGCCAAGGTGTTCGCTCCCACAATCGTTGGTTCACCGGACATGAATTCCGTGCGCAAAGCCGTTTCCGTCATGGAAGTATTGCTGAACGCACCGGACTCATTCTTCAATGACGTTCTGCACGAGGGTATTGCCGGGTCCTGTTTGAGGTCCACATCTACCTTGGGTCCCTTGAGCACTTTGCCACGTGTGAGGTATGTTGGTTAGGTCGAAAGAATTCATATTTTATGGAGTAAATTTGTATTCGACTCCATTTTGACGGTCGGTCTTGCTTTCGAGTTTGTCAGACAGATGTCGCGTGAAGCATTAATCTAGCTTGAGCATATAAAATTATAAATCAACCCAGCTTATTCAAATTAACCTGATGAAGTATAAACTGACGTACTGGATGCACGGTTTTCAATCGGTGCTGATTGTTCGGGATTCAAACTGATGCTTGAAATTTTTGACGGGTTTTACCGGGAGGGTGTGGAAAAAATGAAAAAGAAAATCACCCTGTTGAAATTTATGAAATTTTCTTTGCAGACAATTGCAAGCAACGCCAGGCTCAATGGCCAAGTCCAGGATTTTCACCAGTCCATATCTTATCGACTAAGAATGCCATATAATCTTTTCGTTCTCGTGCGCTGATGTTTTTGACAAGACTTTTTTTCCTAAGAAAAAACTCGCGTTTTCAACTTTTCCTTCGGTGGATGATGTAAATAAGTATCAACGTCGAAATACAACTTTAAAATACTTATTTGTATCAATAGATTCATGACACGTTTCGACGATCAGATCAGAAAACGTGAGTTAAGAAGGAATATACATTCACAGCGCTGTGGATGTATTCGGTATTCTCGTTTTCGGAACTGCTGCCAAAATGTATATAGTCGTGAATCTTTTGACACAAATAAGTCTGATGGCTTGCTATAATTATGCAGTACAGTATATTACGGAAGGAGTGTACAAAAGAATTCGAGTCGTCTTCCGTCGAAGGGGGTTTCGCCGATTTCGGTGCGTGTGTATTTTTACAATTTTTCACTTCCGCTCCTCCTTTTTTTTACAATTTTGAGCGTATCGTGATTGACTTTGTTTTCATATTTTCGGCCGAAATGCATCGAAATACACGGTGTGAAAAGCATGTTATTTTTTTATTGGAAGCTTTTGTTTGGGGTTGAAATTTGTGGAATTGAGAATTCTGATCTCTTCTTCATAATCTAGAGGTACGTCACACTTCGTTCCAGTTCCGCTCATCCTCAGCCTCCACTTGATTCAACTCACGGATTGAAGTCCATGATTCAACGGTACGCATTCTTTTTTCGCACAGCTACAATCGGTAAAATGGCTTTTGGTTGATTCCCTGGAGATCGTTTGAAAATTATTTGATGCAGGAGTATTGAAATAAGTGAACGTTTTTGGGGTGCAGTACTGTACTTCAATTGTCCGTTCTTAAGAAATGCGATTTGTCGGTTTGCTCTATGAATGCATGCATCAATCAATACTGCCTTGTGGTATAGTGGTGATCAGGATAGATCTCATCACCTTTTTTTTTATCACGAAGTTGCACAACACTGGCTTTGGCGAATTTGGCTAGTTTTGTTGCAACAGAACCCAGAAAATTTGGACAGGAATGTTGCATAATTCTGCTGTACTGGTTTTGGCACACTTGACACTCAAGATAGAGCTTGACAAGATCTGAATCATCTAATATGAATTAGGTTTGGGATGATTTTAGCAGATTTCCAAGTTTCAGTGAATGCATCATGTACAATGTTAACGTTATATTTGGCATTCTTTTTAAGGGTTATGCCACATTGATTTCACGGGCGACCGTGAATTGAACGGCTGGCGGCTGACCGGGCATGTGATTTCACAAATTCTGAGGGGAAAGCTGGGCTAAAACGAAAAAATCTGCCTCATCTTTTGTGAGTGGAAAGCAAAACTCCGCGAGGGTGAATTTTGTAAGACATGAAAAAATTGTCAAAAACAAATTAATTAATAGAAAGAATGCTTCCGGATCTTGTGGCAGCTGTTGATGAAAATGGCAGAATTGCCTTGGAAGATCTGGAGGCAACCCTTAGAAAGAATGCCACATTGATTTCAAGAATTCTGAAGGGAAAGCTGAGCTACAAAAAAAAATCTGCAGGAAAGGCTGGAGTGGAGAACAAAACTCCACTAGGGTGTGATTTTGCAAAACATTAAAAAGAATTGCTGAACAGACCTGAAACATGTTGTGTTGTGCTGGAAGAGAGAAATTTTGACATATTTTGAATTATTGCACAAACTTTTGTCAAGACCATTGTATATTCAATGAATCTCCACTGATGGACATTTTGAGTCAAAATTGATAATGTGAAACAAATACAATATTATGGATGCAAAACATCTGGAAATGAATCACATATTGCTCAAAGAATCAGTTTCTAAATGATTACAATTCATATTTAAGATTTTTCCAATTAGCTTTAGCTTCCTAGAATTTTTGTGGCTCATATACAAATATGTTTCATTATAGTGTTCCTGAGGACTCGTGTCAAACGATCAATACATAAATGTCTGTATACAATGAATCTTTGAATCCCAGTCATGTTGACATCATGGGTCGAGCAGAATGGATTTATAGTTTTATACGTATGTCGCATTTTGCAATTTATTATGTTACTTCGGAAAACGGAAGTGTCGAAATAATAACATTTTCAATCTTAATTAAGACCTGAGGAAGGTGATACATTTCTTGGGACAGTACTTTATAGTGGTTTTATCTGCTACTTGATATCCCCTCCAATATAGCTCATGGTTATTATTAAGGTGGATATAGTCTTCGGTTTCAAGCTGTTTAGGAAAAAGAGCTGAGTAATTTTAAGTAGATTACATTGCGAAGTCTGTATGCAAATAAGATTTGTGCAATTCACGAGTATATTATTTGATATAACCAGCAATATGGAAGTGCTGCATGTGTGTTTTTACTTAAACAACGCACCTGATGCACCTTTATCCCCGAAACGGTGGGGTGCAAAATCATACTTCATCAGGCTCGTGTACACTTTTAATGCATATTATATAAAATGTTCATGCTTGCATGGCATACTTTTATAAAACAGTCAGTAAAGCTTCAAGAAATAAGGATTTCAATTACTAAAAAGAGTTAAGAAAATACAACCACGGCTCAAATCCACCTGGAAGATGGAAATGTGAACCAGGAAAAAAAAATTCAGCACAATTCAATTCCAATTATATCAGTCTTAGTTTCAAATGTATGCATTTATACTGTTTCTTTAAATTAATTGATTTTTTTGCACAGAATATCATGCAGGTTTTATATCTCACATAATTGATTTTTCTCTTAACATTATGGTACTGTATATGTAATACTGTACTCAAATGTCTTATAACGACGAGTGTGATAATTCATTCATGCTGCTTATAAGTGATGGGTATACAGTAATTATTGTTGCTTCTGTCATTGCTGGTGATTGCGCTTTCTTATTTATTCCCTCGACCACAGCAGTGGAAAAAAGGTCACACTAAATATAGAAATCGATTTATTTTGACGCTGCTCAACGACAAAAACATATAGTGAGTAATAAAATCCTGGTACGTGTTGCATCAAGCGCCCCCCTCTGTTGAAGAAAAAATTATTAAAAAATTAATAAATGCAAAAATTTCACAATCAATTCAACTGCTGCCGTGTGTTTCATCAGCAGTTGCTTGCCTCCAGCTTCAAGGCCTTCCCCGCCACCTTCTTCGCCCTCTCCGCCCTCTTCCTCCTTGCCTAGTTCAGTGTCCCACTCGATCTTTTGCTCGCAATCCCAGGCTTCATTTCGATTCTTTTGGAATTTCCAGGAAATGAGAGCAAATCCGCAACACGTGACGAAGAGCACGGCGTACAAGAAGCACATGAGAACTGCCCAGTGGTCGTCCATGTTTTTCCCGGCCCCTGGGTACCCGTGTGGACGGTCCCTGTGAAAAAATGCGTGCCGAAGAGAATATTCTTTCCCAGCAGGTAACGATTTTGTCTTTTCTTGGGATGAGGGGTTTATTGTGCCTTTTACATGGACACGATCACGTGAGATAATTTCTCACCTGTATTCAAAAATCTTGAGAAATTTTGCGGAAGGAAAAAGTAGCGGCTATATAATTCAGCAAATTTTGATGACATTCTATTTAAATGAGCAATAAGTCGATTCGAAATTTGCATCAAGCAATGGATGCAAGTCGTTCCAAGATTATTATAGTTCTTTATTTGGACTGCTCAAAAATGCGCGTCAAAATAAATATTCCCAGAAAACGATTTTGTTTGAATGAGGATTTGTTGATCAGTGAATTGTTTAATGGACACAATTAGGTGAGATAATTTTTAACATACAGTCTTCACAAATCTTTGAAAATCTCAGATAAAAACAAAACTAGCTGTAACCTTATTTAACAAATTTAATAAATAGACAAAAATTACTGTTTCTATATATTATGCATCAAGTACATAATATTTTTACCGGATTATTAGTTCTTTTGGAATGACCGAAAAATGCCTCTCATCAAAAAGAATCGGAGAAAACGATATTTTTTTATGATGATTCGTTTTGCACAAATCTTCAACTGGACTTCGTAAGGACGTAATATTAAGTGAGATTATTTCGAATATTAAAAAATCTTAGAAAATTTAAAAAACTATTAGCTGCGACCTTATTTAACAACATTATTTTGCATATTTTGATCAGGTAACTACAAAATTTGGTGACATTATAAATGGACAAAAAGTACTGATTCTATATTTGCATCAAGTGATGGGTACAGTACATATTTCCGGGGTTATTAGCTCTTTCGGAACGACTGCACTTATTTCAATTAACCTAATTTTGTATCAATAAAAACCCGCCGAGAAATTAAAATGGCGGATCTTTCAGTAGTATAAATACATCTATATACGATACTGGAAGGTATGCCATTTTCATTTCTCTGAAGGATTTTATGCCGTAAAATTAGGTTAATTGAAGTAAGGGCGGACATTTCGAAAGAGCTAATATAATAGAACTATATATTCACTAAATATGCAGTTGGTAGATTATTTTTTGTCGAATAATGTATCCGGTATTCATTCAAGTAAGGTGAAAGTTCAAGTGATAGCTGAGAATAAAATTTTTTATTTCACCTAAACAAAAGTAGTTGAAATACACTTATTCGGACCTTAAATAATGGATATGTCGCACAATCGACGCTGCAGAATACGTACCGCATTTGAGAACTTTGCTGAGGAAAGTGGGCCAAAATATGGAAATGCATCAAGAAGGGATTATATTTTTTAATGAAATTACTTGCCAAATTGCAACAGATGACAGAAAGCATATTTTTCATACTTTTTGAACATATATTAAAACATTTGTTTCACTGCTACTTCATGATAATTTTCAAAAATATTTTGATAATGAATTTGAGATGTTGTGAAAAACTAAATTGTATTAAGGGTTCAGAAATAAAATAAAAATTCTAATTTGTGTCAAATTACTCAGTACATGGACTTCTTTCGTGTTATAGGTCTTTTGAACCTTATTGTAGTCATTTCATGCAACTATATGTATATACATATGTGAGACCCCCAGATGCGGACATAATTGGTGTATCAAGAGTGTCCCCAAGTCAAAATGTCTCCATATAAATTGCTCAAGTCTTCCTTTCCCATATAATTTCATTAAATAATTTTAATTGGGGTTTTATGGAAAGAAATATTCATCAGAATCTCAAGAAAAATATTGATAGCCAATATTGCATTTGATTAAGAGAATACTGTATCTTTTGACTCAATAAGAATATTTGGAGCAGTGTACCTCTGTACTGATGGGTACATTAAAATATTTGCATCTGTAAAAATAACATTTGAGTCACAAAGAGAGAAGGAAGTCCCTCTATGCCATAGGTAGTTTTTTTTAATTAGCTGAATGGATGGGAAAATTGTTGGAGAAATTCTGAAGTATTTTTCTTGCATAGATCTAAGTGTTGGTAATATCTGCTTCCAGCAAATCAGCCTGATGAGTCACTTTTCCTGAAACTTATTGGCAATTTTATCATGCAATGTGTGTGTTGAGTCAGTGTCTACATGTTGGGCATTTTAGGCCTTTTTATAAAAAAACAAATGTCCCTATGTTGAATTGTCCACATGTATCAAGATGTTCACATGTGGGCATCTCACTGTACTTACTTGACTCAAACATTATTAAAAAGCTAAAAATGACAAAATGGAATGAACAAAAAAATTGAAAATTTACCACACGTTACTCTGGTCAAAAATTGTGAGTGAAATGAAAACTAAATTTTGTATACTGACAAATGAGGAAGTCCACTGTGGAGCAGTTCACGCATGTACTCCTGATCCATTGGTGGTGGGTTCAGACTGAATCCTTTGCCAAAGCGCTCACTTTGCATTTTTGTCACTGCCACATAGGGGTCACCATCTACATCAGCCATTGGATCATTTTCCAACAGCATTCCACCTCCTGAATTGCCCAACATTTTGTCCCACCCTGCCATTACCTGAAACAAGGCACAGTTATTTTGAAACTGAAATGCATAGCTTTGTTCCAACTGCCTCTGAATCAACTGCTGATATAGATATAAAGGGAGTATTTTGCTTTGAGAAGCACCATGAATATTGTAGTTAACACAGCCAAGATTGGCGCTTGACAAGATATGATTCTTATAGTACCAATATATGATGGATACAGATGATATAGATATAAGAATATCTATATCATCTGTATCCATCATAGATTGGTACTTTCCTGTTATCTCAGGACCCATTTTTCTTTGTCTTGTGAATTCAGTATTTATTAGGTTAGGTTAGGTTATATTGATTGAAATATATTTGTAACTAACATAACCTGACCTAACCTAACTTTACCTAACCACCTCCCAAAATCATACTAACATAACCTGACCTAACCTAACTTTACCTAACTGCCTCCCAAAATCAGTTTCAGCAGAATGTGGAAAAATGAAATTCACAGTTTCTGGTAGGTGCACTGAAAAAAGGTACTGAGATAACAGGAAACTACCCATCATATATTATAATCATAATCATTTATTCTATAGAGATTAGGAGATAATTTTGCTTTGAGAGAACACCACAAATATTTTAGTTTATCCAGGCAAGATTGACACTTGATAGAAGCTGATTCTTAAATAGATGATGTTGTAAGCAAGTATATATAGACTAGGAGAGCATTTTGCTTTGAGTAACACCACAAATATTGTACTGTAGTTTTTACAGTCAAGATTGACACTCCATTTTCCAATCATGATTTTTGTATAGATGTGTGCTGTGAATATTCAACCAAAAAAAATGCATGCATGTTAAATCTCATGAGCAAGATGCAGCTGTATACTTTGCTAACTCAATCCTCTGATACCCCTGTATTTCAATGATTTTGTCTGACTGAATCCCTATTGATAACCGTGCAATCTGAATCCCTCTTAATTTCACAGGCTTTCACCCCTCAAATCTCTAACTTCAATTTTTGAGGACTTTGTAATGTTATTCTGGGTTCCAAGAAAAAATATGAGCAATAAAACTGTAAATGGAATTGAGTGAGTATGATTGGGCAAATGTACCCTAGCTTTGCAATTCAGCATCCAGTCATATTTTTTATCCAGCAGTTATAAACCAAAAAAATCACCACTTCACATTCATGTAATTGTTTTGAAAAAATTCCAAAAAATTCTAGTTTTCTTTGAATTTGTAAGCTATTTTTTTCAATTTTTTGGTATCCCTCTGAGATTGACTTATTTGGGACGTCCAACTGTGCTGTTTTATTTGCCCATCAGGTGCACTGCTGATAAAAAGATACAGGATCACTATATCCTCACCTCATTTCTGTGCAAAATTCTATTCCTTGTGTTATCTTAAATTTCAGAATAATCTCGAGTCTGGAGTAATGAAGGTGTAAAAGAAAAAAGAAGAGGTTTCATTGGAAATGCTTTGGGTTTTTAAAATAATTTTTTCATTCCTCCAAGGCACTATGAAGGTCCTGCCTTCATCCAAGGCTATTTTTGTTGTCCTCCTTTTTGAGCTTGGATGCTGAAATTATGAAATCTTCATCCTTGATAGCATTCAGTGAACAAAAGGTTTTTCTGTGTAAAATTGGTTTGTTGAGGACAGAAAAGCTGTCGAAGTTTTTTCTTGCAATGAGCCCAAGTTTTCAGAGAGCTCAAATTTGCAAGGAGTGCAACTGAATGTTGGAATTGCTGAGAGTCATCCAAAGTCAGCATCTGCTCAATGAACTGGCGATTCTCCTTTTGCGGAGTAAATAATGTATTAAATTACTTTCATACAGTATTGTACTAGCATAGCAGTGAAAAGATGCAACCATTTTCTTATGCACTGCAGTTTTGGCTAATCCTGGCTATGATTGGAATTGTACTTTATTTGTCAAAAAAAAGTTGTTTGTTGCAGAAGTCCCACTGTTTTATATTCTGAATTGGACCTAAGATATATTAGTCAACCTTTTTCTATTCAAATTTTGTCAAGTCCCAGATAGATGACTGAGTCTCTTAAAAACAATGCATTGAAAGTCTCTTAGACTCAAAGCCTCCCCCCTGCAAACCTCCATAAAAAAAATTTCTGGAGGCCTTTTTTGCTAATATTTTATTTCCACAGTTAATAGAAAAGCAATAAAATTGTAACTTCCTGTACTTTGAAAGGAAGGGAAAGATTATTTTGGAAAATGAACCCTTGCCTCCAAGTGCAATATTATTTAAACTCATTCAAGAGGCAATTTAGGGCCCAGTATATCTTCAATATATAACAACATCCAAAGTCTTCTGTCCTTACCCCAACAAAAATGCTCATTTTCCTGAATCATTTTTAAAAAATTGCGTTTGACTTTGAGAAGTTTGACTGTATCATGATTTTTTTAAGGAAACAACTGGGGTGTGCATCTTTTGTTGGGATTGGATATTCACCCAATTTTGTGGTTCGTATGCTATTTCACTTGAGAAAACAGAAAAATAGAAGGTCTGATAAACTGTATTTAGTTTTTCTCAGAACAGTTTAAACAAAACAAAAATCGTTCAAACGAAGCTGTTGGGCCCGGGAAAACATCTGCGTACGAGAAATTCGTTATAAAGAGATTTTTAATATAAATTATTGCCATTGGACATGAAACTTGTTTTCGTTTCAAACAATAATTCGTTATATCGATATTCTACTTGAAAGGATGAGGTGATGGTTCAGTTCCGGGGAAATTCGATGGACGGATATATTTAGAAGTGCATTGCGAAACAAAAAAAATTCGATGTTTCAGGTCCTCCTTCATTCTCAAACTGGCAATCATGATTTCCCCTTTTTCTTCAGCGCGTTTGCACCTTATTGCGGGGTCAAGGCTACTGCTGTATGTGCGAGGGTTCATTCATAAGTTTTGAGACATAGTTTTGAAACAAATCCAATGGAGTTCCAACAATTCTAAAATAAAGTGTCATTGCATAGCCACATCATTTGGCAACACTTCAGTGCTGTTCAGCATACTCCCTCGATTTCAATGCATTTTTTCCATGCAATATATACCCAACAATCAAAAGAGTACCAAAAATTTAGTTCTGTTATTAAAGCTGCTTTTTGATGGCGGAAATGAGGCTGTCATCCTTGACCTCAAAATCAATTCCTATCAGGTTGTTCTTCACCATCAGTAATGGTCAGGAGTCACAGCTAGGTTGCCTAATCCCTGGGGTCCCCAACCCATGGTCCATGGACCAGCTCTGGTCCGCAGAAATATTTTGCCAGCCTGCCAGAAATTTTCTTCATAATAATGCATTATTTAGAAAAAGTAGCACTGAAGTCTCATCTTCATCTGAAATTTACAAAAGACAATGACAGTTATAATTATCTATTAAGAAAATAAAAGCTATGGCTTTTCTTCTAATTACCCTTCAGACAAATCTTCACCCGCTGAAAAAAGTATTTTAATTTTTCATTCTGAGAAACCTTTCTTCATGTCCACCGCTCTGATTTTTTGAAGACATTCCACGTCAATAGCTGCTTCATTATTGGTTCTGAACTCAATTTTTTTGCAAACAAAGTAGACACTTTTCAGATACCTGCCACTTAGTCTTTCAATAAGTAACATTTTCTTGAGTCTGAAAAGCTTTTATGAAACTGTTCTGGTCTGCAGAACATTTTATGAAATTTGCCATTTGTTGATTTTGGCATTGCTGAAGCTCTGTTGGATCTATTTAACAAAGGCTCAAAATTTATGAACTGACCCTTGTATATATATATATATATATATACAGTATATTTATATATACAAGGGTTGTTTGATCAGTTTTGAGATGTTTTGAAACAGATCCAATGAAGTTCCAACAATTCCACACAAAAAACAATTTACTTGCATAGCCCTATCATTTGGCAACACTTCAGTGCTGTTCACAACACTCTTTGTCAATTTCAATTATTTTTGATGCTATAAATCCAACAATTGAAGTATAGTGCCAAAACAGAAAACTTGATTTTTGGCACTGTTTTGATTGTTGGATTTATTGCATCAAAAAATGCATTGCATTTGCTGGAGAGTACATCTTAAGCAGTACTGTATAGTGAAGTGTTGCCAACTGATGCGGCTATGCATTTAAAAAACTTAATTGTTGAAATTCTTTTGTATCTATTTCACAAAGTCTCAAAACTTATGAACCAACCCTCCTACAAAAGACAGAAGAAGAAAAAAAAACACAGACCCATGAGGATAGATAAAGAGGAGGACAGGATGCATCCCACGGTGCGCCATGTATATATACTGTACACCCAATGATGGTTCTGCAATAAAGTAAAGTCGAAAACAATAATATCTAAGAAGAAGAAGAAGAAGGTACATATATACTTTGTGCTGCTTTTTGCTCCGACAGCCAAGAGACGACCTTGTTGCATCATCACCCCCTCTTCGTCTGCTGTGTCTGTGTGTCCTTCCTTCCCTGTCGTCCTCTTTTTCCCCCCTCTGCTGACAAGACGTTGTTAGAGTGCATTGCACATTAGACGCATGTAATACTGTATTTCTCATGGACGTATTGAATGATCCGTTTACTGATTGATTGGCAACATAATAAGGATTGTCCCACTTATTGGGCGCGACCTTGGTTATTTCTCCAGTAGGTATGACAAAAAAACATGACATTGCCCATCAGCATCATGATGTTCTAAGGTACTGGGATTTTTTTCGAATTTTTAAAAACATTTTTTTAATTTACTGCATAATGAGAAGTGAACACTTTTCAGTAACAGCTAGATTTCTCCACCCATGTAGCAAGGGGCTAAAAAATTGTCAGGCCAGCTAAAAAAAATTGAAGTTTTGTCAATGTTGAATTGAATTGAACATCAAGCTTTATTTTCTGCTTTTCAGTGTATTCACAAGGTTCAAGCAAAGTTCCCACATCCAAACCCCCTCCCCTCCCCAGCACCCACATTCATTTGAACACATTCCATCACATCAGAATGGGAAATAGAGAAATAAGCTGCATATGGATATTAAAAGGAAATAAAATGCATCCCAAAAAGTAAAATTGCACAACTGTTGTAAATACATGCCCTTTCTTCCCTTCCCTGATAACAAAAACAAAATATCAGCTTTAAGAATTGCAGCACAAAGCAATTACTAAGCCCAAATGAAAGAAAAAGGTGTTCAGCAAGCTTCCAGATAAGGTTTAGTTGATTTAACAATTTTGAGATACTCTTTGATGAGAAATCATATAAGGTTAACAGATTAGCTTGGTCTTTAAGATTTTTGGAATGAGTCTTTTCATTGAATTTTAGGAGTTTAATATCGTGTTTCAACCATTATTTGAAATGTAGGAAAGATAGATATCTTGTTAAAACTTGGTCAAAATTTCCAGAAAAATGAAGTTTTCAGAATTGAAAAAATCAGAAAGTACCTTGCAAAATTAATCTTTAATTTCTGCATGAAAATGCATTGAATTTGTGAGGCCAGCTCAAAAAATTGAAATTTTGTTTATTTCAACCATTATTTGAAACGTAGAACAGATAGTTGCTCCAAACTTTGCCAAAATTTCCAGAAGAAGGAAAAATGATAGTTTTCAAAATAAAAAATAAGAAGTACTTTGCATCAGTAATCTTTTTTCTGTATTAAAAAACATTTAATGTTCATCCAGAATATGACCATGAGATTTTGAAATCATCTGATTCAATACAGATAAACATAGATTTCTACTATAGTGATGGAATTGCATTGTTGAAAGTCCAATATGTTGAATCTAAAATCAAAGCTGTTTTGTAGCTGTTGTTTAAAATTGGTGCACTCTTATGATCACTGGAAAAGCAGACAAAATTTTTCTTTTTAATCATTTTAATTTTATAAAATTGTTAAATCAACTAAACCTTATCTGGAAGCTTGCTGAACACCTTTTTCTTTCATTTGGGCTTAGTAATTGCTTTGTGCTGCAATTCTTAAAGCTGATATTTTGTTTTTGTTATCAGGGAAGGATGTGTGTGTATGTGTGTGTGTGTGTGTGTCTCTATAAATGTACTCTTTGACCCACATCACATGATCCGGTCACATCTCAGGAAAAACCACTCCAGGATGATCACAATGATGACCGAGATGATCGAATTTCGCATCGAGGTCAGAAACGTGATGCACGACCTGTGATCACAGTTTTTATTTTTTTTTCGTCCTTCCCATCAAGCAAGGAGATGTTGCAAGAGAGAGGGAGAAATTGGGCTCCTATTATTGCCGAATTCACGCAGGCGACACCATGACCCGTGCGCCGGCCACATCATAGCCGCCAATTCCTGGCAACCTCTGCTGTGCCTTTTGCTTCTCCTTTGTTTTTCCTATTCTCTTGATACTTATACTTTTATATATTTTTTTATACATTTTGTTTTTTAATATTTGCGAACGACCTGTTGTTGAATAGCTCGCGTGTTACTGCCAGAGATGGGTCCCAAAGTAACAAGCGTGATAACGTGGTGGAACTTTGTGGGATGCTTGGAAGTAAGTCGTGCGACTTTTCTGGTGCAAGTGAAAATTGTTATATACGCAGTAAAATTTTGTTGCAGCAATTGAGACACATTGCTGGTACCCGGAGGAAACCTTTTTTTATGACTCAAAACGTTGTTTTGTTGAGAATAAATTATTGAAATAACATTGTTTATTTTTTGGGTCAAGGATGGTAAAAAAATAAAATAAAATCCATTGTCAGAAAGACTTTGTTTTGACCGTAACTTTGTTGTAACAATAGATTTCTGTTATTATTTTAGTCCTTTCTATAGATGGTGTGATATACACGTGTGACTCGGTTAATGAACTCCACATTTTCCAGTGGGAAGTATACTCCATAAAGATTTCCATCAACTGAGTGCTACATTCAGTCCTCGCATAACGGACATCCAGTCCTCGCCAAGCGAAAAGAATTCGCATAACGACATTTTCATTCGGGGTTGGGGCTGACTCACATAACGAAATTATATGTCCAAAAATGCACTAATTTCAATATGTTTTTTGAATGAAACTTCGAATTTTTTTTTCAAAAACTAAGGAAAATAAGAAATAATAATATATAAGTATAATAATATATACTTTTGCCTATACTTGATGCCTTTATGAAAATTTATGAAAATTAAAAAAGTCAGGGCACAAATTCGTAGGGTTGACCTAAATTTAATTCTACAATAAAATCTCGTTACAGCGAAGCCTTGGGACCTTGAAAAATGCTTTGTTACTAAGGGAAATTATTTAGAGAAAATTAAAAAAAAAACATGGAGGCTATCAGACAGGTACCAAAAACATATTCTTTGTGAGCATAAATTCGTTATAATGAGACTCATTGTAATGAGATTCGACAGTATACATGGTAAATGAACAATTTGATGCAAATCAACTAGAAAAAATGAGCAGTTTTAACAGTAGCAGTTTCAAGAATTTGTGAAATTCAGAAAGGTCTGAGCAAAAATCCCCTAGTATAATATTTCTCAAATTGCATGCTTGAAAATTTCAAATGAACAATTTTATTTAAAAAAAAAAAAAACCTAGGAAAAAGAAGCAGTTTTAATGGTTTATTCATTGTGGCTTATTTTGCGGTGAAAGTCTGGAACAAATTACTGTACAGTGAAGAATCCCCAAAGCAACCTTGAGGGAAATTGCATTCTGCATTGCAAAATTTCTGCACAACAAAACACATCACCCAGGAATAGATTAGTTTCCTTATGCAGCAACTGAATGCATATAGAGCTTTTAAAAAATAGCTATTTAGAAATAGCTATTTTAACATATGCAATTGTTCATTTAAAATGTATACTGAACTGTATAATCTTAACAATGAATGTCATTATAAAAAATTTATGCTCACAAATAATGTGTTTTTTGGTCCCTGTCCAATAGCCTATATTTTGTTTTATTTTCTTTGGATCGAATTTTTCCTAATAACAAAGTTTTTTTCAATGAGGTCCGAAATTCTTTGCTGTAATGATATTTTACTGTTAATGAAATTTAGGTAATGCTTACTAATTTTTGCCCTGACCTTTCTGAATTTCACTAATTGTAAAGGCATCAAGTGGAGGCAAAATACAGTGAGACTCCCAGATGGGAATGTGATGAGTGCATCAAGAGTGCCTCTGCTATAAGTCAAAATGTCCTTAAGTTGCTCAATCCCCTTTTCCCCATAGAATTACACTATACAGTGTAATTTTTAATTTTTATTTTATGAAAGAAATATTCATCAGAATTACATATAAAAAATTGTTTGCCAATTGAATTTGATTTACTCAATAAGAACATTATCAAAGCATTCAATAATGTACCTCTGTACAGTACTGTACATTTACATCTGTAAAAATAAAATTCAAGTCACAAAGAGAGAAGGAAGACCCTCTATATGCTTTAGGTAATTTTTTTTAAATTGGCTGAATGGATGAGAAAAGTATGATAGAAATACCATATTTTTCTTGCATAGATCTTAGTGTTGGAAATATCTGTTTCTTGCAATTCAGCCTGATGAAAGTCACTTTTCCTGAAACTTATTGGTGATTTTATCCCTCAATGTCCACATGATGAATCAGTGTCCACACATGTTGGGCATTTTTTTATTGAAAAATAAATGCCCCTATGTCAAAATGTCTGCATATTGAGGTGTCTGCATGTACTGGGGTCTCACTGTATATACAGCTGAACCCCTTTAAGACGCCACCCAATAATGCGCTACCCTCAATCAGCAACCACCAACATTTTGAATGAAACAAATCTCCTCAATACTAAATGCCATAGAAAACCTGGATAAGACGCCAACTGCCATCTGCCAGCATTAGTGATGAAACAAAAGTGCCGTTTTGTATTAGTTTTGTCTTTGTTACAATGCCTACACTTGGGGTACAATTATATTTACTGTCCAGGATCTTGTATTGGTAAGAAGAAAACAAAATGACAATCTTCATTTTTCAAAAACTTTGAACAATATATAGACCTAATTTTAAAATTTGAATACTGTACATTGATACAGAAAAATTAATTTTCTGAAGGAGTAATGCATAAATCACAGCAATACTCTTTGGAAAATTACTGAAGTTCCTGGAAAACTTGTATTTCCATTACTTTTGAAGGAAAATCAATTATTTTTGATCAAGTGATTTAAAATGAAATATATTTGATAAACCACCAACCCCTTTAAACTGCCAGAATTGCTCTGGACAAATGGTGGCGTCTTATCAGCTAGGGTTTGACTGTTCATACCCTTCTTTTCTTATTTTTCTCAGTTTTTTGAAAAAATCCAAAGTTTCAGTTAAAAAATTATTGAAACTTGGGCATTTTGGGCTGTAAATTTCCTTCATCCCGGGCATTTTCTTCAAATCTTCATGCTGCCACCGTGTTTGTCATCATGTGTGACATCGTATAACACATATAGACTAACATTCAGCCTCAACGAACCCCGTCGTTCCAAAGCATTATTTTCTTTTATGTTTACTATCAAACCCAAAAATAGAAATGAAATATAGAAAAACGTGTGCCGATGTCGAATCGACTCCCTTTGTCACACCATTGACCAAGCTGTACGTAATGCGATGTGGTGAGAACGACCTTGGCACTTGGGGAGCAGCAATGCAGCAGTGATGACCCAGCACCAGCAGCAGCCCGATAACCTCAGCATTGTATATTTATATATACTGTATATATATAGGGATAAAAAATAGAAAAAAAGGGACGGGCTTGATGGAAGAGGAGGATAAATAAAACGACGGAGGAAATGGAGAAGAAGATGAGAATGAAGAAGACAGTAAATTTGAGCGCTGTTTGCTGGAATCTCTCTCCCCGCACCCACAGCACTGCGGGGATATTGCGCAAGATGAGCTTCGTTATATTTGCTGGTTGCCGGTGTATTGCATAGGAAAATCCTGGCTTTTGATGCTTTTGCCTTTTGCTCAACAATCTCAATTTAGCATATATGTATTCAAGGATCACGAAAGAAATAAATTCATAGGCAATCATTGCCTTTATTTGAGGCCAAAAACACATATTCAATATACAGTATGTTCCTATAGGTTTTTTTGAGGTTTATTAAAAGTTTTCAGCAGAGTCAAATAAAATCAAGAATTCAAAAGAACAAACACAATCAATTCACACAACAGATTTTTGCACAAATCAGGAATAAAAGGTAAGGAGAAGGTTGTCCTTCAAGAGTTTAGGACAGACTGCTTATGAATTAAAAATAAGAAGAGCTTCTATTATTTTCTTATTGGAATTGTCTGGTCAGGTGATCTGACCAGAAAATTCCAGAATTTTTTTTTTCATATTCCCTGGCCTATGATTTGCTGAAATAAAGAAAATCAAAGAAATCAATGCGTGCATTGTATGTCAGGTGATTGGTTTCCTCGATCTTCTTATTTCTTGCCAACAGCATATTCAGGTGGATTCTCTCTACATCAATCTTGTCTACAAGGGTTTTCTCTTAATCAAAATTTTTTTGTAGTGCCCGTAGTGATAGGCTTTACTGTTGGGGGTCCTTAGACTCCAGACAAAGAAATTAGGTACAGTGAAATAATGACACAGGCAATTGGCCATTTGAGGCCTGAGGTAGAATCCTCAACTTTGATGATATATTTCCGAATGATAAAATGAACACAGAATACAAGCTTCTTTCTGAGTGATGTTTGCATGCACACTTCAGGAACAGGAGTGATGGCCATGATGAGGTTTGAGGTTCAGGTTCAGGTCCATTCTAATGGAAATGAACCTGAAGGCCAGTTTCTTGGAGCTGTGTCTTGTGTTTCATGAGAATCCTTTTGATGAGGATTACTCATGATGTTTCATAACAATTTTGGAATTATTCCATGAAGGTTTCATAACTTCTTAGAATATTCTGATTTATGTAACTTTTGTTCTTGTGGGTTCCAGTTAACTCCGGTTGCTTCTAAGCAATGTGGTGCGACAGTGAGCAACATCTAGTCATTTCACGGTGCAATCTTGTTTGCTCTGGGCAACATCTAGTCAACCCACAACATTTAATATACAAAAGTTATCTTTAAAAAAATTTTTTGGTCCCTCACTGCATATGCAGCAATAGAATAATATAAGTGAGGAAAGTGATGAAAAAAGGCCAGAAATAATCAGGAAGATTTTTCAGTTTTGTCATTGCCTCTACAGTCAACCCCTGTCCAACAGACCTAATTCATGCAATGCAGAAGTCTGTTATGGACAAAAAGTCATTTTGGCTAATTCAAGTACAGTATATAAAAATTGAAAATTTTAATTGTCAACCCTAATTTTAAACCAACAGAAGTATGTTTGGCAGATTTTGTCTGTTGGGCAGGAGGAAAAACTGCCTGCAGAGCTGGTCTGTTTGGCAAAATCCCTTACGCGGGAGGTCTGTTAGGTGGGGGGCCACTGTATGTTTATTTTGAAATGATGATACGTTCTTCAAAGGGTTAGAAAAAATCAGAAATCCTCCAAAAAGCTGTTTTTGTGCATAAGTGGAATCATTACAGTGTGTTCCTGATGATTCAAAAAGGACCCTGCAACAAAAATGTCTTATTGCAAAATTTCGTTGGATGTGTTGAGGGACTAATTACTCATTTACAGCACTGTAATTTTTCTGTCTAATTTTATCAAGTTTAAGTTAAGAAACGCTTAAAAAATTCCACAACTTTGCACAACTTTGCAATTGGACTCTCTCTCTCTCTCTCTCTCTCTCTCTTTCAATAAAACGATATATTAATGTCAACGACGATTTTCTCAGTATAACGAATTTTCTTTTGGTCAGCACTTATTCTGGGTTTATACCCATTTTACAGGGGTTTTTGCTACGAATTTGTTTTTTTTCTCGAATCTCCTGCATTTTATTATTGAGACAGTCCACCTGATATTTTCATTTACCTTTAATTTGTTTTGATAATTAAATAAAAGTGGACTCTCTATGACAATCTTGCCAACAACGAATTCCTCTGTAAAACGAAATTTTATTTTTTCTTGAAGGGTTCTCTTCCTGGTTCTCTGCAACGAAATTCTCTCTACAACGAATTTTTTCTGGTCGTTTATGAGTTTCGTTTTATACAGAGAGAGAGAGGTCAACTGTAGTTTGAATGCAAAACTAAATCTCGCTGAATTTCATGGTTTTTTTTTCTTCAGAAATGTTTGTGATATAAAGCAAAATTTCCGGTATTCAGGACATTATAATACGTTTAATGTCATGTCATCTGTTTAAAAAAAAGCATCTCCATTATCACCCCGCATGGAAAAAAAAAAAAAAGTGCACATCAACGGGACTGACGAAACTTTCTGAACGAGCCCATCATCATGCGGCCGGTACTGGAAAGGAAATAAGAGACCACGAAATTTCGCACGCACGCAAAATAAAAAAAATTGCACAAGGATTTCCAGTGCGAAAAGATGGTCGACGTGATTTCGTGCGCTGCTTTCTCACCGCCGGGTCGAGAGTCGCCCCGATCGAGGTCGCGATGAGGCGCCGAAAGAAGTCAGTTGGGCGGCCGGGCGCCTAAAGCCGACCGCACTCTCTTGTCTGATGCTCCTGCTGCTGCATGCTGCTGCTGTTTTTTGCTTGACCATTATACAGCAATATACAGTATTCAGGCGCCATCAGCAGCAAAGAGGAAAAAATACATAATACAGATATATAACACATGTATATATAATGTGAAACACATTCTCAAACATTCATATATACGCATCATGCAGACGCATCAAAGTCGAACAAATCGTCGTTTTGCGGTGACGTGTCTTTATTTATTTTTTATTTTTTGAAAGAAAGTGGAAAAGTGAGTAAGCTAATAGAGTTTCGGTTTTATTTTTCCGAATGTCGGTTTATTGTTTTGCATCAAAGTCAAACAAATCGTCGTTTTGCGGTGACGTGTCTTTATTTTTTATTTATTATTTTGTTTGAAAGAAAGTGGAAAAGTGAGTAAGCTATTAATAGAGTTTCTGTTCTATTTTTTCGAATGTCGGTTTATTGATTTTAAGTGCATATTGACAAAGACAGACGCATTTTAATGAATGAATGTGTGGGTTTATGAGGATAAAAGTGTTGAAGTCTGTTTTTTTTTTGGGACCATCAGTCTGAATTCTTGCAAAATACATTCAGCAGCAGTGAAGTTTATAATTTTTTCAATCGACCACAATCCTTCTGTGGGAGAATACAACATATATATGGCATATTTATACCTTTGTATGTTTGATTATAATGGTGTTTTTAAAAATCAGTTTCCAACATTGTCATGACAAATTATGATGCATTTTGTGAAACAAGTTCCCTACATGGCCTATAGTTGGGTTCTCATATTTATGCTTCAACCCTAATTAGAAAACCTAATACAGATGGTACCTTGCACTTTGACAATGATCCATTGCCAACTTAGGGTCAAATTTCAAAGCAGTCAAATTGTGAGACTACACACTGTGAAATTCAAAAATATCAGTACAAAAATGAAAAAAGTGGCCAAAGCAGGTTGAATTGCTGGGCAAGGGTTGAATTGCAAATCAACCTCCTTGCAAATTCAACCATTGAATTGTGGGACAGTCAAATTGTATGAGGTCAAATTGCAAGGTACCACCTGTACTGAAATTTTGAAAAAAAGCAATTAGATGCAGTAAAATAGTTCTACATACACTGGAATCATCTCAAAATTGATGTTTTGCATAGTTGCATTTATTGTATTTAGTTGAGTACCATGCGCACCTTTTTTCTCAAATTTCAGAAGAAAAAAGGGGTGTGCGTCATAAGCGGGTACACATTTTTCAAGAAGTTTTAGGAAGTTATGTGTGCATTATACTTAATTATAATGGAGCAATTTTGAACAAATGTAACAAGAAAACTTTTTTGTACTGAAAAAGTTGAAAGTTGATCAAATTCTTGTTCAATTCATGTCTAAAGTCAAATTTTTTGAATTTATTTTAAAAATTCTGTGGTTTTAGATTTACTAAAAATTGGGGTGCGCGTCTTACTTGGGTATAGGATTTTAGCCAAATTTCCAACTGAAAAACCCATGTGCGCGCCTTAATTGAGGGTGCATGGAAGTTGAGTAAATACGGTAATTATTGAAAACCAATTGTTCATCATATAGTCTTGCTGAACCATGTTTTGGGTGCTGATAGTCTGTGTGATAAAAATTGAATTTTTCTCTTAATCCAGATTTGGCAAGTGTGACTGCAAGTATAATTTTTGAAATGTATGAGGGTTTTTTTATATTTGTGAATGTGTTGGGATGTTTTCCTGGTTTAATTTTTGGTGTTTATATTAATTTGTATGCAGCAGCAGAATCTTGTCACAACAAAAACAATTGGGACCTAAAATGTGCTGGAAAGAAAACTCTGTTGAATGGAAAATTTAAAAACATTGTGATTGTGCAGCAGGAGCTTCAAAAAAATGTGTCTTGGACATGAATTGAAATACAATATTACTGTATGTGGTCCTTTATGTTGAAATCATTTCCAAGGAATCTGAGAAGCATCAGGAATAAATTCAATAAAATATCCATCAATTCCTCATATAGCCAAATTCATGTGAGTCTCAAATCAATTAGTTATGGTGAGCTGACCTTTAGATTACTGCACAGTACTGAACTTGTTTCTTGAGCTCTCCAGGTAATGAACTTCCTGAGATCAATTAGAACATTCAAATGTTCTTATTCATCCAATAGTAACCACATTGGTTTTCTGTGAGGGGCTGCATATACAGTATATGTTCTTTCACAAAGCCCTGTTTAAAGGGACTTTGTTTGGAATCCCAAGGGACTCTGCAGAACACTTGGAAATAACCTATGCAATAAATATATTGTGAACAGAACATATATTTTACAATTTTGCAATTGATTTCATTGATATATTTGCGGGATGTTGGTGAATTGAATCAAGTGAAAAATATGAATGAAACGCGATTATGAACGTGCACAATGAGTGTTGGGCGTTGCTGCCGTGAAGTGCCTTATTTTTCCACTTTTAAATACCCATCTTCTCTATCTGTTCCTTGGATGATGTGGGTGAAAAAAGTCGCCCCCATGACGAAGCAGTCAGAGCAGCAGCAGCAGCAGTGGCAAGTCAGTATATATATATATGGGCATTCACATCCCATACAGACATAATGAGTTTAGTGTGTGGTGGGGTTTATCAAAAGTTTTGCCAGTCACCTGTTTACAAGTGCAGTCAAACCCCAATTTGTTTTTCCTGGCACAGTTTGTGTGGCACTGCATGGGGGATATTGTATCAAAAGAAAATTCATTTTAGGGCTCCTATAGGTAATAAAACAGGCTTTTTTGCAGAATTGCTGGCCATTGAGTCTATTTTATGAAAAGAAAGCCACACAAAATAATCTGAGGCTCATAGTATGACTTTAGTCATAAAAGAAAGAAAGCAAGAGCTCATAAATTATTTTTATACACTGTACCCTACAAATGTAAACTCATTTGGAGCATTTGGTCCTGGGGGAAAAAATTACAAATAATCCCTTGATCAAAATATTTGGAGAGAGTAACCACTCTTCTCTACCAAAACATTTAACATCTCNTACTTAATTATAATGGAGCAATTTTGAACAAATGTAACAAGAAAACTTTTTTGTACTGAAAAAGTTGAAAGTTGATCAAATTCTTGTTCAATTCATGTCTAAAGTCAAATTTTTTGAATTTATTTTAAAAATTCTGTGGTTTTAGATTTACTAAAAATTGGGGTGCGCGTCTTACTTGGGTATAGGATTTTAGCCAAATTTCCAACTGAAAAACCCATGTGCGCGCCTTAATTGAGGGTGCATGGAAGTTGAGTAAATACGGTAATTATTGAAAACCAATTGTTCATCATATAGTCTTGCTGAACCATGTTTTGGGTGCTGATAGTCTGTGTGATAAAAATTGAATTTTTCTCTTAATCCAGATTTGGCAAGTGTGACTGCAAGTATAATTTTTGAAATGTATGAGGGTTTTTTTATATTTGTGAATGTGTTGGGATGTTTTCCTGGTTTAATTTTTGGTGTTTATATTAATTTGTATGCAGCAGCAGAATCTTGTCACAACAAAAACAATTGGGACCTAAAATGTGCTGGAAAGAAAACTCTGTTGAATGGAAAATTTAAAAACATTGTGATTGTGCAGCAGGAGCTTCAAAAAAATGTGTCTTGGACATGAATTGAAATACAATATTACTGTATGTGGTCCTTTATGTTGAAATCATTTCCAAGGAATCTGAGAAGCATCAGGAATAAATTCAATAAAATATCCATCAATTCCTCATATAGCCAAATTCATGTGAGTCTCAAATCAATTAGTTATGGTGAGCTGACCTTTAGATTACTGCACAGTACTGAACTTGTTTCTTGAGCTCTGCAGGTAATGAACTTCCTGAGATAAATTCTCATTCAAATGTTCTTATTCATCCAATAGTAACCACATTGGTTTTCTGTGAGGGGCTGCATATATATGTTCTTTCACAAAGCCCTGTTTAAAGGGACTTTGTTTGGAATCCCAAGGGACTCTGCAGAACACTTGGAAACCTATGCAATAAATATATCGTGAACAGTACATATATTTTACAATTTTGCAATTGATTTAATTGATATATTTGCGGGATGTTGGTGAATTGAATCAAGTGAAGAACATGAATGAAACGCGATTATGAACGTGCACAATGAGTGTTGGGCGTTGCTGCCGTGAAGTGCCTTATTTTTCCACTTTTAAATACCCATCTTCTCTATCTGTTCCTTGGATGATGTGGGTGAAAAAAGTCGCCCCCATGACGAAGCAGTCAGAGCAGCAGCAGCAGCAGTGGCAAGTCAGTATATATATATATGGGCATTCACATCCCATGCAGACATAATGAGTCATAGTGTGTGGTGGGGTTAATCAAAAGTTTTGCCGGTCACCTGTTCACAAATGCAGTCAAACCCCAATTTGTTTTTCCTGGCACATTTTGTGTGGCACTGCATGGGGGATATTGTATCAAAAGAAAATTCATTTTAGGGCTCCTATAGGTAATAAAACAGGCTTTTTTGCAGACGTACTGGCCATTGAGTCTGTTTTATGAAAAGAAAGCCACACAAAATAATTTGAGGCTCATAGTATGACTTTAGTCATGAAAGAAAGAAAGCAAGAGCTCATAAATTATTTTTATGCACTGTACCCTACAAATGTAAACTCATTTGGAGCATTTGGTCCTGGGGGAAAAAATTACAAATAATCCCTTGATCAAAATATTTGGAGAGAGTAACCACTCTTCTCTACCAAAACATTTAACATCTCATCCATATCTGCCATAGAATAAAGCAAGGAAAAAGTCATCATTTGATCCTAGGAAAAAACTTACAAAGAATACCATTTATTACCATTTGCACAGGCACTTTATTTTGTTTGCCAAGAAAAGTCAGCTCACTACTATCTTCAAGTGGATGCAAATCAGGAATAAGTGGAAAATTTCACCACATTTGGAGCATCTGATCCACCAAAGAAAAATTTTTAAAATTATATTTATTGCTGTGTAGTGATTATTTTTGTCTATCAAGTCATTCAGCTCTCATCCATCTGTCAGTAGATGAAAAGGAGGAACAAGCGCAGAAATTTCACCCTGATTAAGAGCATCTTGTCTTAAAAAAAAGACATTTTAATGAAATTAATTTGAATACATTATCTGTTTAGTACAGTACAAGTATCCTTTGTCCATTCAAAGATGTCAACTCATCTGTCAGTGGATGATTAATTAAAATGGCACTCTTGTTACTTTAGGAGCATCTTCTGCCCTTGAAAAAAAAACATCCAAAGAATACAATTAATTTAAAATTCTTTAGTTCTTCTTTATATAAATATTTTTTAATTTACAAATTTTAGAATTCACCAGTTTTTGGATGAGAATTCAAATCTATTGTAATTGGAATGTCACCCCACTTTGAGCATCTGGNAAAAAAACCTCCCTAACTCCAAAAAGTTCCACCAGAAACCTCCCCAAGTCGAATTTTTGCACACAAGGAGGAACCGGAAATGTTTTTATTGCAGGCGTTTTTGGGGGAGGAGAGCTGCTTTAATTTGATGCAGCATCCTCCCCCCATTGATTGAACAAAGACGAGACACTGTTTCTGGCCCCCAGGCGCCGGAAACAGTGTCTCTTTTTTACTGCTGCAGCAATTACAATTTGTAATTCACCATGTACTCCATTTAAAATTTGTATGCTTGCTTTCACTTATTTGTTGAGCTGGTATTTTCAGTACTAACTTTTTGTTTTCACAGAAAACAAAAGATTTCATGCTGTGTTTGTTTAGCTATAGGTTCCAGCCGGTTTTAGGGGACTTTAGGTTTTATGGGGTTTATTTATGGCTAAGGTTTTATTCAAGCTTCAAGCATGCAAAAAAATTCGGTAGCTCGCCCTCAAAGAAAATTAAAGGGTTTCAATTTTCAAAAAGATTCGGTCGAAGAAATGAGAAAATTCTTCTCTTTGCCTAAAAGGAGGTAATTTGATAATCATTAAAAAAATCTCACAAGAGAAATGTTAGCATCAATTGGTCAATTTGTAAAGAAATTTAAAAGCGTCGCAATTTTTTTGACGATCATCACCAATTTTTTCTAGAAATATTAGTGTCTCTTTTTGTGTAGAATCCCTTGAAAATTATTACAAAATGCGAATGAAAACCTACTGTTTCCAAAATGTGGCCGTTTGGGTTTCAATTGTTCACAATATCTTACGTATAAACGCACAAATATTTGAAAGCAGACTGAAAGTATATTTGAGAGAAAAAATTTCCGTTTTCAGTTTTTTACACATTTTTTTCGGATTTGAATGAATAAAAATTTCCGTTCTTCACGAATTTTTTCAAGTGCGAGCGCTTTTCAAATATTCATTATACACCCATAATGTTATTTCTAAAAAATTAATTTTAAAAAACTTGAAAGAAATTGAATCTAAAGTTCACTCGAACTGTAACTAGATGCTACTAGATGCTACTAATACTAGATGCTTTTCTGTCGCAAATTTTTGAAAATCAGCCGTCCTCATGTTTTTTGACCGTCGTATAAATCACGTCCATATTTTGCAATACGATATACAAGCACACACAAAAAAACGCGTATGTTTAATCAATTGACAATATCAGGGATTGCAATTGCGATAAATGCATGAAATGAGTTGAAAATTTACAATTCGACGATACTGATACATTCTGGAGCAGAATTTGGAAGTGCATTGCAATTTTTGCATACTTTAATTGGAAGTATAGGGTTATAGTTGGGGTTATTATGATTTTGGTTTTTGAATTGGTCTAACATTTTAATTTATTAATATTATTATATGAGGGGAATCCTGGTCTGCGGCGACATGCGGCAGGCAATTGAGCAGCCTGTATATACAGTATATTCGTATTGTAACCGTAGTAATTTGTGCAAATTTCATCTTTGAAAGAAAAAAAGGGAAAAATTTGTGGTTTTTCAAAAGCGTGATTGTCTGACTGAAGAGAATTTGTTGTGTAACTGAAAAAAGGGGGGGAAACGTGACTCCCTCTCTCACGGCTGGCTGCGAAACTGTCTTCCTTCTTCATTCTTTCTTTGGCTGCAATAACTTACACAGGATTATAAAGTGTGGTGCCTCAAAGAACAGATTTATTTGACTCCAAAGCATTCCTTGTGAGGCAATTCTCAAAGCGAAGAAAATGGGGAGAGAACAAATCGCAGGAATTAAATCCGGAAAAAAACTCTTTCAAATAAGTGCTGATGCTGGAGGAACTGGGCCAAGGTATTTTTCTGTTGAAATCTTCTCTCTTTTCAAATAAATATTCAGTACTCCTGGACTGAATAAATAAATATGCTGGTGAAAACTCTCTCTCTTTTTTTTTTCTGCAAGAATCTTGTCTACAAATGTTTCTCTGTATAATTTTGTTTTTGGTCACATATATGTAAGGTTCTTTCTCCATGCTACAGAGGTTCTCTACAACAAAATTCTCTCTACAATGCATTTTGTCTGGTCCTTTGCATTGTGCTGCAGAGAGGGCCCACTTGTGATTTTCTTTATACTAATTACACCTTTGTAAGAGACATGCACCTGCCTTTTCACCTGGAAAATTGAGAAAAAAGTGGCAAAATGCAGTATAAGTTATCAGAGGTCAAGTGTGTACAATAATTCACTGCTGGTCACATTGATTGGATCAGATCATTCTAAAAATCCAAACAAGAGGTCCACTTGAAGATAAGCAGGAATAAATAAACTCTAAAATGGGTTCAAGGGAAGGTTTGGTTTGAATTTCTCTGAGACCCAAGAAGAAAATCTATGGTATATGTACCAGTGTTCCCCAAACCATGGCACACAGACTGCTGGTGCTGGTCTGCAGAAGTTGTTTGCCATGTTGCAAATTTTTATTAGTTCTATTTTTAGCAGGAGTCAAAGAGAACCCGAATTCTCGTCCTTGAAGGACTAATTCATCCTCTGTGAGAACCTTGGAAGACCTCGGTTCTCACGTTGCTTATTGAAGCCTCCAAGACTGCATTTCACTGCAAATCCTGTTGCTAATTCGCATCCGTGAAGGACTGCTTTCCTGTTTCCCAAAAACCACAAGATTGAACACAGTTTGTCTCAAGCATTTGCGTGTGTTACATCTCCAAGATTTTGCAAGGTTTTCAGTTGCTATCAATCAATCCTACAAATTATACCAACCTCAGAATAGGGTGATTTCACCCCGGTCGCAGCCCGACCAAATCTCTGTGTTTTATTCCTAAAACCAACCCATTCTCAGTCTTTCTAAAACTCTTTAATTAAAATCTTCATTTGTTGGGATTTATTCCTGACATGCCAGTCTGCCGGTAATTTTCTGCTGCACAATGTATTGAGAAAAGTATAGCAATGAAGTCTGCTATTATTTTTCTGGAATTTCAGATAGACAATGGCAGTAGAAATTATCTGAAAAAAATGAAAGTTTGGTTTTTTTCCTAATAACACATGAGACAAATTTTTACCTGATGAAATGAATTATTTAATTTTTTAATTCTCAGGAACCTTTTTTAACCCCACCTTTCTAATTTGCTGAACACATTTCACTATGCAATATTGCTGTTTTTATTGGTTCATAATTGCTTCAAGAAATCATAAACTTTTTAAATGCCTGCCATAAAGTCTTCCAATTTTTCGGAAAATGTTTTGAGTCTGCAAAAATTTTATAAAACTTTGCTGGTCTGCAGACAATTTTGGGTAATTTGCTGGTCTGCAAAAATGTTTATGGAAATTTTATGGTTATGCAGGCCCAAAAAAAGTTGGGAAACAGCTGGTAAAAATACAATATATGTATTATATGCGCACCCAAACATTCTCAGTGGCCAAAATTGAACTCTTCAGGAGACTATGAAAGCAAAAGTTTCGAATTTTTGCTGGAATAAACTTTGCTCTTATTCAACAGTCCCAAATTAAAAGCAGAACTATCAAATAAAAAGCAACTCAACCAATTCAGCAGTCCTAATAAAAGGCAGAAATTGGAAATATAGAGCTTTACTTCAAACAAAGCTCAATTTAGTATAAATCAAAACATTTAGCGTTTAGTTTCCTGAGAATAAAAATTTTGGCAACTGAAAATTTTCACGCGTCTCATAGGATATAAAGATAAGATCTTTTTCAATTTTAAAGTAAAAAGGCAGATTTTGCGCTTCCGATTTACTATTTCTTCTCTTAATTGACATGGCTGCTGAATTAAAGCAAAGCTCATTTGAGCCAAAATGCACATACTGTACAGTATTCTATTTTTATAGTTGTTTGAATATTTAATTTTTGCACTGAAAATGTCGTTTTTCGTGAATTCACAAGTTAAAAATGCAGCTGCTTTTTCTTCATCACGGGTTTGCTTATTATTGGTACTTGCACATCCAATAACATATACATAACCCATATATTTATTCATTTCCAGGAGTGGAAATCGGAAAGATTTTGAAATATTAAGAATAAAGTTAAAAATTACAAATTCAAATGTAAAAACTTGTCTATTAACCCAAAAACTCAGCTCGTAAAATGCCCGCGCTAGTAAAAAATAAATAATTAAATAAATTTAGTGAGGAGGAAGGAAGCTTTCCAAAAAAAAGGCTTTTGTGAAAGAAGATGGAAATTACGCAATTTTATTGCAAAGTATTTTGGAATTTGGAAATTACGTGATCGTATAGTTTCCTTTGGTCTTATAATTGTGTAGAATTCTTTCTAGAGAAATACACTATACAGACGATGTATCTTGTTAAAGCAAACTTTTGTATGGACTCAGGAGAAAAAATTCTTATGATGAAAAAATCTTCATATTGAGAATACCTTGAGAAATGTAATAATTTTTCCCAGAAATATGTGATGTCCAATATTGCTTCAGTCCGAATTTTGGTCGTTATTGGCAAATCTTTACATTTGCACAAAAAAATAAAGTTTCAATATAAAATGAAAAATATCCTAGCAAAAAAGTAATAATTTCTTTAGTAAAAAAGAATTGTTCTGTGATAAAATGTTTTATAGGTATCCTGTGCTGTTTTTTCCTCGATTCAATCCGCTAATTTCTTTTGCGTACAATTTTTTGAATAATTTTTTATTTGTCCTTTTCACCTGAAACATTTTATAGCGAACTTTCTTAATTCTTATACTGTACTTTAATTGGGATGGAAACTTTGAATACTTTAATAAACCGATTTGTTGAGCAGTAGTATTTAATCAGGAGAATTATTCAGTATAAAATCATCTTCAGCATTGGTCCTGATGTATTTTTTGTTACTGTACTTTAATTGGGATGGAAACTTTGAATACTTTAATAAACCGATTTGTTGAGCAGTAGTATTTAATCAGGAGAATTATTCAGTATAAAATCATCTTCAGCATTGGTCCTGATGTATTTTTTGTCAGGACCTTTGAAAAATTGTGCATAAATAAAAATTGGACGCACTATAACGGAATTCCTTTACAAAATCTCTTTTTCAACTATGCCGAAGATGATTATGAAGTATACAGTAAAATATATTTTACAACGAAGCGATTTTAAATATGTTTTCCGCTTAAAATTTGCAGTATACTATATTTTATTATTATTGCGATGAGTCCCAGGGATCTTTCATTTTTGTTCGACCTTTGGAAAATTTTCACAGTGATCTCAATTAGTTTAAAAGTGCATTATGTGCGGGAAACGTGGAGCCATTGATTTCTCGCGTCATCTATCCGCTCAAACTGAAAACAATCTCGGGCATTCCGCCAACGTGTTTCTGCTGCAAACAGATAGATGACGCAATCAAACAAATACAGCAAGTATACCAGAAGGAAGGGTTTTCAGACCAAGTCGTCTGGTATACGGTATTCTCAGCTTTATTATTCGTGTCATCTTGCTGTTCCCATTCACAAAATCTGCGTATTTACAGTCCACTAACAATTTTTCCAGGATTTCCTGGCCTTCGCCATCTAGTTGTTCAAGTCAAAAGAAGAAAATTATGTGGATCAACCAGCGAAAATACTGTACCAGAAAAACCAGGGAAATATTATGCTGCAGATTTGAAGAGCTGGCCTGTAATGTACATAGTTCAGTGTGGGGCATCGACTTGAGGACACCCCAGCATGCAAATGATTCAATTTACGTGAAATTTAAATTCAAGAAAATCTTAACATGTTGCAACAATCTCACAAGATATGAGGACCCTATGTCATTGAAATTTTTCAGGAAAAGTGAAATACATTTAATATTTTTCAAAATGTAGGTAATATCTTTTAAATAATGTATGCTACTTCTATAATGGACATAAAGTCAGAATAAAATCGTATTACTGTATAAATGTAATTTAATTACTTTCAAAATCAGGTTAGTCTTTTGCTTTTTAGAAGTTTTTTTTATTTCATTGAACTGTTGTAATACAGTACTGTATGTTGTTGTTTCTTGGCTTTTTGACTCCTTTTTAATGACAAAAAAAAAGGAGTCTGCCTTAATTTTTTCTGGACATTTATTTTCTGTATTTCGTGTGAAAGTCAAGAAAAACGTATTTTTGATTCTTCGATTTTTATTTATAAACTTTTTGCCAAATAGCTGTGAGAAATGAGAAGTTATTTACGCTTTTAAACAAATTCATGGGAAATGTGATTCAACATGCAGATGTTCCAACTTATTGACACAGTCTGAGAAGTACATAATTATTACTGCATGTCCTCATGTACTTCACACTAATTTTCATCAGAATTGAAACCATAGAAGAGGCAAAATAACTGAGGAGCAGATGAAGACACTCTTTTTCTGGTTTCTATCTGCGTTTAGGAGAACAAAGGCAGCATTTTTTTTTTTTAATTTCCGAATTTTCTGGAATTTTTTCTTACTTTTGTCATGAAAATGTTACATCATGCCCCGTGAAGGACTCGAATCAAGACAACAAAGCAGGTTGTTGAAACGTGAGTTTACCCTCGAGAGAGTTGCGAAATGCAGCCGAAACGCAGCAGGTACATGAGTTCAGTACTTGATGCTTTCATATATGCAGTATTGGTGACGTAACGCACACTATTCATGTGTACAGTAAATGAAAAGTGGACCGAATAAAAAAGCATAGACTGATTTTAAATGAAGATGTCTTCTCCGGTTATTATATTTATGGAAATTTACCAGTATGCCAGAAATATTTATGGAAATTTACCAGTCTACCAGAAATATTTATGGAAATTTACCAGTCTGCAGGCCCAAAGAGGTCGGGGAAAACTGGTGTAAACTGACTGCTTGCAATTGATTTGAGTGAACAACAGATGTCGCTTCTTTGCTTGACAGGGCTTGAATGCATCGCCTCATCATCATCATCCTCATCATCATCAGCTGAATTACCATCATCTGGAGGACCAAGACCATCGAAGACATCACGTCGGAAACATCGATGAAAGCGGTGAGTATGCATCTGCACCAAATGATGCACCCACGCATGAAGACCACCACCACAACCACAACCATCACCAGCACCACCACGAACAACAACAACAACAACAACAAGAACCACACCAGCAGCAGCAACATTTCCGACGAGTGCCAATAAACAACCCTCGATCTACAGGCTTATCTTTGCGGGACAAAGTGATGACGCCGTCATCATCAGCCGACCAGCATGCTGAAGATGAGTCTGATCAGCGTCCAGCAGCAGCAACCGGCGCCACATCATCATCATCATCATCACTAACACACCCCAACCCCGGCGCCTGGGGCATTTCCGACGTGCAGGACCAAGAATTCCTCGCCTCGTATTTGCGAGATGCCAAGGCGAATTTCGGACACCGTTTACAAGACGGCGAAGATCATCATCATTATCATCATCGGGAGGCGGAGACAGAGTCCGAAGATGGGTGGCGGCATCGGGCGGCGGCGTCCGCCTCCACCTCCGCCGCCGCCGCCGCTGCTGCTGCTTCCAGCAGCAGCTTGTATCTGCAGCAAGGCTTGGCGGGTTTCATAAGGACGCCGCATTTGCCGGCTACTTGGTACACTGCTGAGACTCACGAGCCTGTCAAAACTGGGCCATTGTTGGAAAGGCAATTATCAGATGAGGACCATCATCAGCAAGAGGAAGAACAAAAGGATAACGGGACGCTTCTTTTTTTCCTTCGCGATAACAATGGCAAGGATGACGAGAACATCAAGGACAATGATAGAAGGTCATTTCCCTCCTTGAACTCTCAACTCCAGTGTTTTTTAAGAGGTGGATTCTCTCTATATGCAAGAGTGGTATACTAAACTCAGGATTGGTGGTGGGCCATATATGGCAAGGATGAGGAAATACATTATGGCTTATTGATCATAATTTTTTTCTAGTGAAAGGTTAAAAAAATGTAGACATTCTGCAATTTTATTTATTTTTCAATGGAAGCTAAAATACCCTGAAAATGGTCAAGTTAAGGTTGGATTCCCTGCCTTGCTAATATATAGAGTGAGACCCCACATGCAGACACCTTGACATGTGGAAAATTTGCAAAGGGACACTTATTTCCACAAAAAAAAGCCTAAGAAAGGCGCCACATCCAGACACTGACTTGACATATGGTCATTGTGTGTTAAAGTTGCAAATGAGTTTCAGGCCAAATTACTAAAAAAAACAGATATTTCCAACCCTAAAATCTGTGTAAGAAAAGTTCTTTGGCATTTCTCTCATCCATTTACCATCCATTTAGCTAATTTTAAAAAATTATCTCCAGCATATAGGGACTTCCTTCTCTCTTTTTAACTTGAATGTTATTATTTTTGCAGAGAAAGCCAACATTTCAATGTACTGCACAGAGGTATCAGTATCCAATGCTACAAATTTCCATTTAGCTTTGAAAGATATTGATTGAATAAGTTTTAATTGGGAGACAACTTTTTTAATTTTTCATGGAATTATGATGAATATTTTTGTCCATAAAACACCAATTAAAAATTATATAATGTAAGTCAAACAGAAAATAAAACTTGACTTGGAAATATTTTGAGTGAGGGACACTCTTGAGTCTTGATGCACCAATTATCTCTGCATTTTGGGGTCTCACTTTATTTTAATTTAGGTATGATTTTTATGATGTATGCAGGGGGAAAAACATCCATGCTGTACTTGAAAAACAACTGTGCATAAAACAGCTGATTGCAAGAACCCATTGCACAAATTTAAAAAGGCAAGAATTTAAAAAATGTATCCAATCTTAATTAGTTTAAATAACAGGTAAAATTTGTACTTTTTTCAATTTTCATGTGATGACCAGAGATTATGTCAAACTGAATAGATATCATTGAATTTTTCATAATTTAAAAATTGTTTTTATTGTGATATTTTGAATCAAGGACCAACAAACCCATAGAAAATAAGCCAAGATTTTTGAAGAATTAGAACCTCTAATAATTTATGGGAAAAAAGCATATGGGGCCCAAAATTGGCATTTTGAGAAAATTGATGTAGACAAGATTGTTGTAGAGAGAGTCCACCTGTAGTACTATTTTTACTTGAGTACTATGAGCTATTTCTGAAGATGCACACTTTAGATTTTTAGCTGATAATTCAAAGAATGCCTCATCCCTGCATATTATTGTATTACACACATTCTATTTTTTGGTTACATCCAAGATTCCTATTTCAAAAGCTGTTTTGGACAAAAATTTAAATTCAAGCCTACTTGAAAATCAAATTCAATAATGGTTTTATTTCTTGCTTGGACAAACAATAGTACAGTAATTTTAAAGTAGGAAACATTTTAAATTGGGGAGAAAGTTTCCAATTTTTAAAAAATGTTGCTTGAAAATGTTTAAGCCACATTTTTTCTACCCAACTATTATGTTGCGCATCTCAATTTTTTTGCTCAAACTTTTTGGAGCAAGTATTTGAAATACAAGTCAATCTTGTTTTATAGAGAAAATCTCAAGTAGCAAAAGCACAGATAAGCAACCCTGAGTGACTCAAACCAAAACCCTCCTTGAGAGTATAGGGATAAACAAACGAACAAGCGCTAAAAAGAGAACAAATTTACAAAAGATGTGTGAAAAAGAGTCATCCTGAACAAAAAAAAAAGCAAGGATCAAATAGCAAACTTGAATTGACTGTTTGAAAAGGAATCATTCCCATGATTTCCAACTTCAATACTTTCTCCAATATTTCATCACAGCCTTTCATTTCAGTGCTGATATAAATCCGCATCCACCTTACAAAAATGACTCCATTGAGGACTTGGATGGCAATATTGATTATCATTAAATAAGAAATAATTATGAGCCTGTCGCAAATTACAGTGCCCATATTTGGAAGATCACTGCTCTGTCTTTATCCTTCTAATCCTCAAGCTTAATTGATTCATGAGGAAATCATTATTCAGAAAATAAATGTACCATTGTGATTAATTTTCCAAAATTGAAAAAGATATATATTCAATAGGTATATGTTGGCAGAGTTTGAAAATTAATGACCATTCCCACTATTGGAATAAATATCAATCATTGCTCCATATTTATGAAATTCATGTCCTCAAGTGATGCATGATGAAATCAATGATAAGTACTGTAATTTAAATCCTAAGAATGAATAGCACCATGATTAATTTTCCAGAAATGAAGAAAATGCTCACTTTATGGCAGTTTTTATTTGCGCATCTCAATTTTTTTGCTCAAACTTTTTGGAGCAAGTATTTGAAATACAAGTCAATCTTGTTTTATAGAGAAAATCTCAAGTAGCAAAAGCACAGATAAGCAACCCTGAGTGACTCAAACCAGAACATTCCTTGAGAGTAGGGATAAACAAAAGAACAAGCGCTAAAAAGAGAACAAATTTACAAAAGATGTGTGAAAAAGAGTCATCCTGAACAAACAAAAAAAAGCAAGGATCAAATAGGAAACTTGAATTGACTGTTTGAAATGGAATCATTCCCATGATTTCCAGCTTCAATACTTTCTCCAGCAATATTCTGAGAAATCCATCACAGCCTTTCATTTCAATGCTGATATAAATCCGCATCCACATTACAAAAATGACTCCATTGAGGACTTGGATGGCAATATTGATTATCATTAAATAAGAAATAATTATGAGCCTGTCGCAAATTACAGTGCCCATATTTGGAAGATCACTGCTCTGTTTTTATCCTTCTAATCCTCAAGCTTAATTGATTCATGAGGAAATCATTATTCAGAAAATAAATGTACCATTGTGATTGATTTTCCAAAATTGAAAAAGATATATATTCAATAGGTATATGTTGGCAGAGCTTGAAAATTAATGACCATACCCATTATTGGAATAAATATCAATCATTGCTCCATATTTATGGTTAAGTACAGGAGTTCACTACGTACTACTTTAGTTACTATTCATGACATTAAATTTAGGATTCTTACTTATCGTGGTACTAATTAAAAGGTCTTTACTTCTTTTACGAGTGAAATACCGTCAAAAATTCAATTTAATACCCTGTCCTGGAATAGCATTGCTTTTTTTTAATTGACACTCAAATCCCACTGGTGATGCAAGTTCAAGGAAATCAATGATGATCTTTTGCACAGAAATGCATGTCATAGTGATTAATTTTTCACAAGTGAAGTGGTGATCATGTTAATGCAATGCTGGCTTTTGCAAAGTACCCATTTTTGGAGTGCCATGGCTCTATATATATTTTATGGTAGTGAAATCCTCAAGTAAAGCATAATGAAACCATCATTATGAAAATCACAGAAAGAAATGCCTGTGATCAATTTTTCAGAAATGAACAGAATAATGAATGAAGTCACCTCTCATTGAAATGGGCTAAATAGAAAAAAGTATACCATTCATAGTTGGATCTCATTAACTCAAACCTCCCTAAGTCAAATACCTGCCTAATCAAAATTGTTCAAGTCCCTGTCTGATTAGAATCAGTACATTAAAAAGATCCCTAAATCAAAAGTTTAAAACTTTTGTAACATTTTCTGAGACTATTTGGCTACTAATTTCTTGAAACAGAAATGAGAAAAGCAATAAAAAATTACCTTGATGTGCTTTGAAGGGAAGTGAAAGACTATTAGGGGAAATGGAACCGACGAAGGTTCAAGTCGTAGGAAAGTTGAGTAAGTTCTTCGTTAAATTTCGGGTCTTATAGTGGTAAGTGTTAAAGGACTTTAAGAAGGTACGAAGGGTGTCGTTTTTAGGAACGTCAAAGGGGTTAGCAAATCCTCTGCAATATTTTGGAACCTCCTGAAGTCAAAACTTACCTGTATTAAATATTTTCCTGGTTCCTTGAAATTTGACTTAATTAAACAACAGCAGGTTTCACTTGTTGGCTGCATGTGCATACTTTTTTATACATGCAATATTAAAAATAATGTGCATAGAAAATGAAAAATTTAACCTTGCATTTTGATACCCACACAATTCTTGGTACCTCAGATAATTACAGTGAGACCCGAAGATGCGGACATAATTGGTGTATCAAGAGTGTCTCTAAGTTGAGTCTTATTTTCACATAGACTTACATTATATAATTTTCAATTGCTTTTTTATGGAAAAAATATTCATCAGAATTTACAGAAAAAAATTTCTGCCAATTGAAATTGATTCTGTCAGTATCTTTAAACTCACTAAAAAATGTGGAGCATTGAATACTGTACCTCTGTACAGTACCGTACATTGAAATGCTGGCATCTGTAAAAATAACATTGAAGTCCAGAAAAGAAAGAAGGAAGTCCCTCTATGCTGGAGGGAATTTATTTTAAGTAGCTGAATGAATGGGAAAATGGTGGGAGAAATGCCACAGAATTTTTTTGCATATAGATCTTTGGGTTGGAAATACTGTATATTTTTCTTGCAATAATTCAGTCTGGTAAAAATCACTTGTCCTGAAACTTATTTGTGATTTCATCAAGCAATGTCCACATGCTGAGTCAGTGTCCACATGTTGAGTCTTTTTTAAGGCCTTTTTTATTGAAAAATAAATGTCCCTATATGTTGAATTGTCCACATGTTAGAGGTGTCTGCATGTGCTGGGGGTCTCTGTGATAATTATAAAATAATAAACAATAATAATTATTATTGTTGTTACTGATTACCATATAGGAGGGATCCAAAAGTGTTTTACTCGGACGCCAGTAGGCGGATTGAGGAGCACTTGAATGGCGGCTCTGCCTTGTTGGCCCAACACACCCTGGACGTGGAGGCTGACAACCTGGATGTGCCCTACCAGGAACCCAACTTGGGGTGCCTGTCCTATGGGTCCCACTTTTGCAGTGTCCAGCAAGACTATCCCAAGTAAGTGCATCTCTATATATGGGCTCACTTTCAAGTTCTTCATGATATATTGTAGTTTCCAATTCCCAATATGATACAGTATCACCACATTTTCTTAAATATAAAAAGCAGACTTTCTTGTAAAATAATTCGGGGCCCAAAATATCAGGATAATTTAATTCACTAATTATTCGGAATTATATTAAATATTGAACGTAGGGACGTCACCAGCAGATGCGGATGTGAATTACTGTACCTTCTTCTTCATGCACAAAAAAATTTCTTCAAATTTTTGCAATAAACCTGCTGGTTCAAGAGTTTCATTATTTAAAAAATGGTTTTATATCTGATGGTTTCTCATAGTTACGAATTAAAGTCGTTATTCCTTCTGAGTTTCTGGCCAACTGAATCTTCTGAAAATTTTGATCTAAAATTTAAATGAAGAAACCCCTTATTATATACCTATACAATTTGTTCAAAGCTATGTGACAATTATGAAGATTTTGATTTTTGAAATTAAATTATTCCATAGAATCCTAACTTTCATTCAAGCTTTTGAGAAGATTAATGCAGGTACTGTATTTATATCGCACATGAATAACTGAAACATGTTTTGAATTCGTTATATATGATGAAAAAACTGGATGTGATGAATGTATGTCTTACATTCGCAGAGCACGTAATCCTTTAAATTTGAATTTTGAAACCCCAATAAATATAGACACGTTTTGATCATCAGCAATCAATGGAATTTCATGTTTGAGTTAACCAAGTACGTATTTAAACAAGTACAGCACCGTGTTTATCATTTTTTCCCTCAAAATTGAGAGGGAAAAAGGGGTTGCACCTCATAATTAGGCATGGGTAAATTTTTCCCAAAAAAATCTTGGAATTTTATAGCTGTGCTCTTGAATGTTCTGGGAAATTTTTGTCAGAGAATTTTTAAAAACAGGAAAATTGAAATTTTGTGGAATTCAGGTTGAATTCGTGCCTCAATTTTATTTCTTGTTGTCTCTTTCTTTTGAAGTATTTCAGTTTTTTCAGTTCACTGAAAATTAGGTGCGCGTCTTACTTGGAGATACAAGGGTTGAAGCAAATGAAGATTTAAAAAAATGAAAAATAGAAAACACAACTTCCATAAAATTTTGAGGCAATAAAAAAAAATATCTTCGACAGAAACTAGGCCTTAATTGGATGATGTTTTTGAAGAGACAATTTAAAAAAAAAGAATTGGAAATGAACCCCTGCTCTTGGAAAAATGAAACATGCACATGGGTTTTTATTTGTTCCAAACAAAATAATGGCTCAAAAAGCTTGAAAGTTTGAGAAAATTTAGAAAAATCATGGAAAAAATGAAATGAAAATTTCAAGTTTTTAGCTCTTCTGAAAAATATTTAGCACCCTGTAACATGAGTGCTGGAGAACTGAACCAAACACTGAAATGTCTTCACTTATTGCCTTGCCAAAAACTGAATTTGTTTGTGAAAAATCTGAAAAAATTCCCAGGACTTTGGATTTTCGCGGGCTGAATCATAAAATGTTATACTGTACTCAAGTACAGTGAATACAGTACAAGCAATATGTACCTTTATTATATTGGATCTATACAAGCAGTACCATTTGTCATCATACTCACACATAATTTCCCTTGTGCTTATAATGTGGTGTGTATATACTGTATATATGATGTGAAAGGGCCATCATGAAGTGGATCGATGACAAGTTCGCCACAATCCTTTCCAACTTCTCGCTGCCCAGTACGCCTGAGCTGGAAGCAGGCGGTCCTCTGTTCGGTGCCGACCCCGTCCCGCCGGCAGATGACGCTCCCTGCGAATCCCGGGTGAGTGCGCTGATGCTGCTGCTGAAATAACCTAGCTGTTGACAGCAGCAAATTGTACATCCACATGTTTTGTTTCTTCCTTTTTATACCCCCACGCTGTACTGTAATTGCAAACCTTGTGTATGTCATCTGATCGCCATTCATATATACAGTACTTGTATTTAATTCTTCCCCATTTATTATTGCGATGTGCAGAGAAGCGATTTGCAACCCAGCTGGGTTCAGGACGAAAACACTGGTGCCTGGGTACTAGTTGTGCAGACAATGAGTCTCCAGCAATGGATTCGACTTGATGAGTGCATGTGAGTGCTGCATATAAATAGTATGACAACAACTCTGAGGGTATGGAGAAAAAAAGGATGTACTTGCATGTTTATATATCAGAAAAATCTAGGACTTCTTTCAAACATAATTTCATAACCATTAAACATAATTGCTGATTTTTCAGTTGTTGTCTGAATGAGGCTCATGGCATTTCATCAATTGACTTGAATCCACATTTTTCTTTATCATATTGTATTCTTTGCTTTAAATGAAAAACCATTTCTTAAAGTATAGTTGGTGAAGTATACAGAACAGGCTCCACTCAGACTGTAATACTGTAATATGAAAATTTTTATTTTTCAAATTTGAATGAAGAAATGTCACCATCATGAGCTTGGAATGGCATGTATCTTAACATATTATGTCCATTTCAGAGCAGTTATATAAAACAAAAGATGAAAAGCTGTGTCTTTTTAATAATTGAAATTTTTAATCAAGCTGAACATTTTCGAATGCAGTGCATTATAATTTTTTTATAATCAAGTTGAAGATATTCTTTTTAGTGTCTTTTTCATAAAAAGCTTAAAGTTTGATTTAAGTAAGTTTGCAGGTTGAAACAAGCACTGCTGCTGGACCGCAATATGCAGTACAGTATACAGTACATAACAATTATGATATATGTGATCATGTTGGCCAACTGAAAAAGGTCATAATTTGCTCCATTGTGATTTATGTGATCCACGCTGAAAGTCTGCTCATTCTTAATCATGCTCTATGGGTTTAATTTTTTGTCTGCATTTTCTACTCGACCACATTGAATTTATTCTTGCATTCCTATTGATTGGTTTCTTGATGATTTTTTTTTCTCTCTCAATGAATCTGTGGCAGATCCAAAGACATAAGCTGCCAATACGTGATGCCATTCTACAGCAGTGTGTGCAGGGAGAAGACCAGTGTGCACCAGTTGGTAGCCTGGAACCCGTCTTTACCCGAAATGCTATCATTTGCCTACTTGAAGGCGCCGAACGGTTGTGTCTGCTTCCAAGTTCAGCATCCTTTCAACTCATTCAAGAAGCAATTTAAAGCCCAGAATATCACCATTCACAATTTCCTGAAATTCTTCCATGCTTCCCACAGCAAAAATCCTTGCAGTTTCCCCAATTCAAATCCTCGGCAATATTTTGGAACCTCCTGAAGTCAAAACTTCCCTGTATTAAATATTTTCCTGGTTCCTTGAAATTTGACTTAATTAAACAACAGCAGGTTTCACTTGTTGGCTGCATGTGCATACTTTTTATACATGCAATATTAAAAATAATGTGCATAGAAAATGAAAAATTTAACCTTGCATTTTGATACCCACACAATTCTTGGTACCTCAGATAATTACAGTGAGACCCAAAGATGCGGACATAATTGGTGTATCAAGAGTGTCTCTAAGTTGAGTCTTATTTTCACATAGACTTACATTAATTGCTGTTTTTTGGAAAAAATATTCATCAGAATTTACAGAAAAAAATTCTGCCAATTGAAATTTATTCTGTCAATATTTCTTTCAACTCAATAAAAAATGTGGAGCATTGAATACTGTACCTCTGTATAGCACTTTGAAATGCTGGCATCTGTAAAAATAACATTGAAGTCCAGAAAAGAAAGAAGGAAGTCCCTCTATGCTGGAGGGAATTTATTTCAAGTAGCTGAATGAATGGGAAAATGGTGGGAGAAATGCTAAAGAATTTTTTGCATAGATCTTGGGGTTGGAAATACAGTATATTTTTCTTGCAATAATTCAGTCTGGTAAAAATCACTTGTCCTGAAACTTATTTGTGATTTCATCAGGCAATGTCCACATGCTGAGTCAGTGTCCGCATGTTGAGTCTTTTTTTTAGGCCTTTTTTATTGAAAAATAAATGTCCCCTATATTTTGAATTGTCCACATGTTAGAGGTCTCTGCATGTGCTGGGAGTCTCACTGTAATAATTATGGAATAAGAAATAATAATGATTGTTGTTACTGATTACCATAGGAGGGATCCAAAAGTGTTTTACTCGGACGCCAGTAGGCGGATTGAAGAGCACTTGAATGGCGGCTCTGCCTTGTTAGCCCAACACACCCTGGACGTGGAGGCTGACAACCTGGATGTGCCCTACCAGGAACCCAACTTGGGGTGCCTGTCCTATGGTTCCCACTTTTGCAGTGTCCAGCAAGACTATCCCAAGTAAGTGCATGTCTATATAGTGCTCACTTTCCAGTTCTTCATGATATATTGTAGTTTCCAATTCCCAATATGAGACAGTACCATCACATTTTCTGAAACATAAAAAGCAGACTTTCTTGTAAAATAATTCGGGGCCCAAAACATCAGGGTAATTTAATTCACTAATTATTCAGAATTATATAAAATACGTGGGGACATCAACTTTTTAGCTCTGCCAAAAAATGTTTAGCACCCTGTGACATGAGTGGAGAACTGCACCAAACACTGAAATGTTCTCACTTATTGCGTTATTGCCGAAAATTAAATTTTTGTGTGAAAAATGTGAAAAAATTCCCGGGACCTTGGATTTTCACGGGCTGAATCGTAAAATGTTATACTGTACTCAAGTACAGTGAATACAGTACAAGCAGTGTGTACCTTTATTATTTTGTATCTATCACAGTACCATTTGTCATATACTCACACATAATTTCCCTTGTGCTTATAATGTGGTGTGTATATACTGTATATATGATGTGAAAGGGCCATCATGAAGTGGATCGATGACAAGTTCGCCACAATCCTTTCCAACTTCTCGCTGCCCAGTACGCCAGAGCTGGAAGCAGGCGGTCCTCTGTTTGGTGCCGACCCCGTCCCGCCGGCAGATGACGCTCCCTGCGAATCCCGGGTGAGTGCGCTGCTGCTGCTGATGCTGAAATAACCTGGCTGTTGACAGCAGCAAATTGTACATCGACATGTTTTGTTTCTTCCTTTTTATACCCCACGCTATAATTGCAAACCTTGTGTTTGTCATCTGATTGCCATTCATATGTACTTGTACTGTATATAATTCTTCCTCATTTATTATCGCGAGGTGCAGAGAAGCGATTTGCAACCCAGCTGGGTTCAGGACGAAAACACTGGTGCCTGGGTACTAGTTGTGCAGACAATGAGTCTCCAGCAATGGATTCGACTTGATGAGTGCATGTAAGTGCTGCATATAAATAGTATGACAACAACTCTGAGGGTATGGAGAAATAAAGGATGTATAGTATACTTGCATGTTTATATATATCAGAAAAATCTAGGACTTATTTCAAACATAATTTCATAACCATTTGACATAATTGAAGATTTTTCAGTTGTTGTCTGAATGAGGCCCATGGCATTTTATCAATTGGCTTGAATCCACATTTTTCTTTATCACATGATTCCTTGCTTTAAATGAAAAACTATTTCCTAAAGTATAGTTGGTGAAGTATACAGAACAGGGTCCACTCAGGCTGTAATACTGTGATATGAAAATTTTTATTATTCAAATTGGAATGAAGAAATGTTAGCATCATGAGCTTGGAATGGCATGTATCTTAACATATTAGATTCATTTCAGAGCAGTATATAAAAGAAAAGATGAAAAGCTGTGTTTTTTTCAATAATTGGAATTTTTAATGAAGCTGAACATTCTCAAATGCAGTGCATTATAATTTTTTGACAATCAAGTTAAAGACATTCTTTTCAGTGCATTTTTCTTAAAACGTTCAAAGTTTGTTTCAAGTTTGAAATAAGCACTGCTGGACCGCAATATGCAGTACAGCAAGGAGGATATATGTGATCATGTTAGCCAACTGAAAAAGGTCATAATTTGCTCCAGTGTGATTTATGTGATCCACGCTGAAAGTCTGCTCATTCTTAATCATGCTCTATGGGTTTAATTTTTTGTCTGCATTTTCTACTCGACCGCATTGAATTTATTCATGCATTCCTATTGATTGGTTTTTTGATGATTTTTTTTTCTCTCTCAATGAATCTGTGGCAGATCCAAAGACATAAGCTGTGTTATGCACTACGGTAAGATGTCGTCACACACGTCCCTCTTCTGGTCACACGTGGTCAACCATCGGACCTTGGGCAGAAATGGGCTTTACGATAGTAAACGGATGAACTTCCGCGGCTTGCCAACACAATGTCACATACTCCACCAGCACCGCAATGATGAGTACTACTCAGACCACCGGCGTCGATGATGCTGCATACAAATGTGGCCACCTTATTTCAATTACGACTGTCGTGTCATTTTTTATACCGCGAAATCATGATCATTAAAGATGATGGTTCTATTATATAAGTTCTCACGCAAGGGAACAAAAGCATTTCTTTTCTTCATTTATGCAGTCATCGGCGTCGAGAAATCTCGAATAGGAGTCAATTGTATAGCGTATATATATACACCGTACAATAACTGATGTACAGTATATATACAGTTTGTTTTTGTTTTGCAGGCAATCAAGTTTACAGCAGTAGTATAAAAAGTGAACTATTACATTTATTGAGAACGTAATAATGTATGTCAGAAGTCAGCCTTTTATTGTGAGAGGTGAAGCAAGAACAAGGTATACGGGCTATTGCACAACATTTTGAAGTGCTGAAAGTCCCCAAGAAAGAAACGCGCTGCATAAAAAAATTACCTCCATCCATTATTATGTATATACAACGAAAGAAATAAATGCAACGTATATGTGTAGTACCGTATACATTTACAGGTATGCTAAATAAAATTAGCTTATAGATCATGAAATTTTGTGCAGGTATTTTATTTACATTAGAGCTCAATCAAGTGATGGATTGCTTTAAAAAAAGAAGAATAATTTCATGCTTGCTCTCAATTGACATTCGGGGATTCTGAAGATTATTAATGTACAGTATAATTTCAGCAAGATTTTACTGTACCTAAAGTGTACGGTACAATTTCAAATTAAATGCTGTATGTATTTTAAATTAGTTCTTCAGATACCTTCCATTATGGGTTTTAGTCGTTTTAGTACTAGTAAATCTGGAGACTCATACAACATTTTTAAGTAGACACGTAGTCGTTACAGAGTAACGTCCTTAATTAGTACCATTCCTGCTACTCAGTTACAAGTTTATTCGATGACAAAATATTACAGTGTTGATATAGCTGATGAGCGGTGATGTGTTTCGGGGCTCGACTTAAGGAAATGTAGTCTTGAATTACAAGGATATTCACGTCCCAAGAATGCCTTCGTTACAATTAACTTTGTGCCTAAGTTATTCATTCATGAAAGCTACAGAAATCTGCCCATCAGCCAGCATGCTCTTGCGGGGGGATCCATGTACAGAGTAAGTCAAATCTATGAAGCACCATGGACTTGAGCTTCCGGTTCAAGGAACTTCTGCGGAAGTGCCCGGCTGCGCAGTGTGAGTTGTGAAAGTACGCACGGATTACGAACAGAGCCATTGGCCTTGGCTCGTTTTTACCGTTCGTTGCGGCCGTTCGTAGAATTCGAGCGGCGGAATGAAAAAAATGTTTTAGTCAGAAACAGATACTTGACGTGATAGCTGTGTTGTGGTAATCGTGCTCCTGCGACGTGCTCATTTCGAAATTACAAGGGATGTTGAGAGGAGTATGCCCTTACATTTTCAGATCTCATTAGTGTTGAATAAAATCAGTCCGGACGCCAGTATTTTGTACAGAAATGACTTTGGCTGAGCGTCGTGAAGATTTTCGGAAGTA